TTAACTCAAGACAATGAAACTGGCAGATAATTTGAACATCATTTGAGAAACAGAAACCTTGCCTGAGAATTTCCAGCTTTGTTTGTGGCTTTCCCTGCTGCAGTTTCCTTATTAGGAAAATGAGAGCAATATGCTCAGAATACCATAATGACTTGTATGAATACATTTTACCTCTTCCCTGTGAGAATTACCATCCTCTCCACAACAGATTTTCCTTCCAATTCTTCGAAAAATTCCAAGTTCAAATAGTTTTTATTACATGAAAGCTTCAGGTATCTCGTCTATACTTGACTCTAAGATCCTTAAAATCAAAGCGGTAACAAGAAAAACTGTCTTTTACTCCGAGCAAAGCCAGAGTGTGCTATAGTGGCTTTGAAAAATCAGGGAACAGAAATGAGCTTCTTGGGCTCAGAGTGGAAAAACCACAGCATGGCACTGCAGAAGATGCATCACTAGACTATTACTTAACATTTCAGAAAACATACAGAACAAATTGCTCCGAGTATCAGGCACACCACTGTTCATCAGAAATGTAAGAAAGATATTTGCTTTATCTATTTATTTTTTTAGGGAAGCTAGGAAGCTTTTAACGGGACTACCTAGAGCATTTTTTCAGGAGATGCATCTTCTATCCAATGGTCAAAAGAACTACAGGCCTAACACCACCACCAGGACATCAGTTACCGTGATTTGTTTTGGTTACAGACAAAAGAAAAAGGAACACAACACTGGGAAATAGGGGGTTCATTCTTCTAGCACTCTACAACTGGCATTTCTCTTTAGAAATTGAAAATATGAAATCATTTGAGAACGAAATAAATTGCACAGTGCATAGAGTCAGATTAGTTAGGAAAATGTTGCCTTTCACATAATCAGCAGGTGTTCCTGTAAGCCCTTCAGTGTTTTTGACAAAGATAATTTTATGTCTTCCTATAAAATAGCTGAAATTTAGGAACTAGCTTGTGGAAATTGCATGACCTTTTTTGCTCTCAGTTTTTTTGCAATCCTTTAATGCAATGGATTGAATTCTGTCCATTAAATACACAATTTTCCTGTTGTGTATTTAATTCCTCTACTGAAGTCATTCGGAATTAAGGATGAAATGCACCTTCATACATTTGCATATGACGCACAGGAAGTTTGCCAATAACATCAGACACGTACTACCCAATTCTTTCCCAGCATCTTCGTTTGCTCGGTCCATAGGTGAGCACTGCATCCCACAGGTCGATGTCTGGAGTCATGCTTGGCTCTGACTGAGAATCGGGAGTCAGGTTGGACGCTGACTGGAAGCCCTCATCTTCTGACTGGTCTATGCTTTGAGGAACCTGCCAGAGAGAGTTCAAGCTTTGTATATGAAAAGATACTACTGGAGAAATATATGCTAATAACAAAGATGTTTTGCCATCATTTGTGATCAAGACACTCAGCGTAGCTCAACCATAGCCCAACCTCCTCTTTATATCTATTTTAAGTTTCTCCTGTAAGCACTCCTTCATTTGTTATGTTTTTGCAGGTACCAGTACCTACACACAAAATGGCAATGACATCAAAATAATATACCAAGCTTGTGACATTAAAATTTACTCCTTTGGTAAGCTTATAAAAATTGACAATCTGAGCTCTTAGATATTCAATAATATGTAACACTAATAAAACAATACTGCTCAGAATATCTTTTAAACAGATTACTAGAGCCCTAATTCTTCAAATTTGCACACATTTTGCTCAATATAATGAACACAGTTTGTTCTCTTATGCTTGTTCACATGCAGAAAATCTGCAAGCGTTCAAGCACTTATATGCCACATCCTCAACTCCCACTCAATTCAACGGTTGTATGCGCAGAATAGTACCCAGTTTTAGTAAAAGATGATCACAATTACATCCGCAGAAACACAGCGTGTTCTTCAGGAAATCTCACACCCTGCAGTCTGATGGAAAGAGCACAGCACTCATTAAAAAATTTCTGCCTTCCCTCCGTGATGATTTGCATCCATATGTGCACAGGGGATTTCTTTTTTAATGTGTCTGCATTCAAGTTTCAGTTAAGACCTTGAGGTAAGGGAATTGCAAGCACTATCCATATGTTAAATAGAGCAAACAAAACATGGATTAAAAAGAGAAATACTAAAAATCTTACCAGCACAGTAAAAAACAGAAAGAAGGGGAAAGAAAGTATATTTATCTAGTACCTCTATGAGAATATGAAGTCGCAAAAATGAATAGGATGGACAAAAAAACGATAAAGCAGAAACTCTACACAATGAAAAGGTCACAGGACAGCAGGACCCTGGAGGTTTATGAAATATAGTAACTGACAAAAATGGTTTAGGATTCAACAAGCCAAGAAGAAAATACAAGAAGTTAGGTCACATAAGCACATACATTCCGACAGGAATGCTTAAGCAGTCAGGCTGAACAGTAACAGACGAGACAAGGCAAAGGAGTTCAATATACAAAGCAGGCAAAAATGTAAGCAAAAGATTACTAGGGTGGGGAAGGCTGATGGCTTCATGTCATACAGCCTACAGACACATGATTTTATGCTCCAGCTTAAATTCCAACCCTGTCACGTTTCCATCACACATGAAATTACCACCTGTATTTTAAAAAGACAGTTTCAAAATGGCCTACTGAAAGCATGCATGCACTCTGAGTCCAAAATGAATGATCCCATACTTTAATTGCAAGTCCAGACAAATCTGCATTGTCAGGCACCGGCGGCAAATCCAACTTGATGTCCATATCATACGTACGGCTGTGGACAAGAGCGCCGAAGAGCGAGACACGTGTTTCTCTCTCAAACTTGTCACCAGCAGGATAGTTCTGGGAGAACAAGCCTATGGCAGGGAGTCCAGTTCCAGGAGCAGCCTCCATTATCTGAAGCGTCTTCTGAATCGTGTCATTGAACTGACATTCTTCGCTAGTTATTAGAGATTGTATATCGGCCTCAAACACACTTACATCGTAATAATCATAACCCTGATACTTGACGTTTCTCCCAACATATTTGTTGTTTTGGAAATAGTCCTTTTTTTGCGGCACGAGCTGAGGAGGGCCTGTCCCAGCAAGCTGTACGAGGAGATCCAAGACAGAATTAACCTCGGTAAATGGTAAGCAGTCCGCTGTCTCCAGCTCCTCCACCAGACTCTCCAGTCTGTCTGCCTGAGCACCCAGGCCACCAACTCGCAGGTTGAAAGACAGCATCAAAATTTTGTTTTTCACAGGAAGCCTGGAAGCGTTGGATTGCAGCTTACGAGCCTCGTCTTGGAAAAGGTTCATGAAGAGGGCGTTATACGCGACCCTCTTCAGATTTTGCTTCGCCCTCCTCTTGCTGATCTTCCGCCTGCCCAGGTGGACCTTCCACGGCAAACCGGCCAAGTGTGCTTCACACAGGTCGCCGAAGAGCTGCGTAATGCTCTCCATTTCCATCCCCACTGCCAGGCTACAGCAGCTAGAGCCCGACGCCGGCGCTCTGGTTGCATGTGAGGACCTGGAAAACATCAGGAGGGAACGGAGGCGTTTGTGACACAGATACGAGAAACTGGCGAGCGTGCTTTAACTGAAACACAACGAGAGAGAAGCACACCGACACAGTTCGCATTTAGGACACGAGCTGTAAATAACAATCACTGGAGTGCTTTCACAAACACAGCGGGCCCCGGCGCGCACCTGAGGCCCTCGCCCCCCCACTCCCTCATCCCCTCCCGGCCGCTTGGCCGAGAGCAGCCCCGCAGCCCCCGCTCCCCGCCCGTACCTGGGCCGGGCTCCGCCGCGGCTCCCGGCTCCGGCACCGGCCCCGGGACGTCAAAGGCACGTCACGGCCATGCGACGGGAGGCGGCAGTGCCCAGGCAGCCGCCCTAAGGCGGGACGGGGCGGCGCTGAGGCGGCCGTGAGGCGGGGTCGGCCATGAGGCGGGAACCCTGAGTGAGGGGGCGGCCATGAGGCGGCCCCACCACCGCCCCGCAGGGGGGTTGTTTGGGGGGCTCTGCGCTGCTTTCCCAGCTCCTGCCGGACCCCCCGGGCGGTTGCACCCCCAGGAGGAATCATAGAATCATTTAGGTTGGAAAAGTCCTCCAAGATCACCTGGTCCAACTGTCCCCCTACCACCAATGTCACCCACTAAACCACGTCCCCAAGCACCACGGCCAACCTCTCCTTGAACACCCCCAGGGACAGTGACCCCACCACCTCCCCACCCGTCCCAACGCCTGACTGCTCTTTCTGAGCAGAAATGTCTCCTCATTTCCAACCTGAACCTCCCCTGGCGCAACTTGAGGTCATTCCCTGATTCAAAGATCGAAGCCGAAATTCCTTTAAGTGGTATATTCTTTATTGCAGCGCTGGATGCACGGGGGATCTCTCCACCTATCGTGCATACCCAAAGCGGAAAGCAGTCTTGAATTTATACAATCAATCTATCAATATTCTACAAGCGCCTATACATATGCATTACCTATCCCCGCCTTCCCTCGCTTCTCATGCTAATTAGCCTTTTGGCACCTTGCGCCTGCGTAGAGCCTCCCAAGAATTGTGGGCAGGGGTCTTTGGGACGTGGGCAGGGGTCTTTGGGAGGAAGACCCCGAGTCTTCCTCACAGTGTACTTTTCACCTTTGGTCAGGAATCTGCTGAATTGGCACGTTTCTTAATTGCGAGAGCTGGTTGTTGCCAATTCTTCCGTTTGTTGTATCTTTATAATGAATTCCAATGTCCAATTTTGAGATTTATAGTCCTTACGTTTGTTTCTCTGTCCGTCTGCCGCTTCCTTATCATGAGTTCCAGTGTCTTGTTTCAAGATATACAGTCCTTGTCTGGGGATTGTCCTTGCCTCCCCAATGCCTCCCCAATACCTCCTTAATCATCCCTCTGGTCCTGTCACCAGTTCACCATGGGACAATGGGGGTTAGCTGGGGTCTGGGCCCTGCCACGGAACTCAGTGACTCTAAGCGCAGCTTTCTAGCAATAGTGGCAGCCTAGGTCTATAAAAACACACAGGTTTGCCCTTTAATTCATGTTTTATTAAATTTGATCAACATCTTAAAAATATACATGTAACAAAATACAACACTCATGACTGACAATAGAAATTCAAGACTTAACGAAAGCAGTTGAGAAAAATGCTTTTTCCTCAGAAATGCTGAATTACCCCAGTTTTTCTTTTCCAGGGGAGTGGAAGGAAGAATACACTTACAATGCTTTTGTTTTTTAAAAGTTTTTGAAGCCCAAGATAGCCAGATGCCCACCTAACCCATTTTGACATATCATAACCTAATTCAGACTTCAGTTTAGAGTGACTTTGAATTCCAAAAAGAACTTTAGTTTATTTTAAAGAAGTTCTGAACTGAAACTGAACATCTTGTGTTCTTCAGCTTCCTCTCGTGAAAACGTTTGACATACATTTTAGTCTCTTCTGAAATAATTTCCGTTTCAAAAATTTTCAAGGATTAAATGTCATTTCCCCTTCAGCATAACTGAAAAACCAGTGTGAACTACAAGAGCGTCACTTGGAATGGTTCTAAAAACAGGACTGTGAAGACTGACCTAATTATTCAAATTATATTCAAGTTTACATTATTGAAGTTACAATCACAGAAAAATGCTCCTGAACATGAGTACAAAAATGTATCCGAAATGCTGGAAAACAAGACACATTATGGCTAAATAAACTTCCTGAGGCAATAATTTTGACTATTCACATGATGTTACCGCTATGCCACTACCAAAATGGGGGATGGGGTATTGCTTTTTATTTTCTATATATAGAAAATATGCATTTGAAATGAGGGTAAAATGAAGTCCCCTTTCCACAGAATATTTACAGTACGTATATAAGTTGTAAACTTTATTTTAATCTTTACACTGCTTTATTCAATTATGTATTTGTAATTTTATATGTGCAAAATATTTTTTTCCACATGCCTTATATAGTTCAGGAAATTAAATTTAGTCTCAACCACAAAGTATGATCTAGGAAACTATAGCTGTTCAGCTGCTTTTCTTAACTTCCTGCAATTGACTGACCAGAGAAATTAAAGAACAGACTTTAAATTAAAGAACAGATTTGTTGAATCCTTTAAAAGTCATAGGAAAAATTCATGAATCTAAAGGACTCGTTGTTAAATTTAAAATTCCATTCCAATGAAACAATGGTAGTGGCTGCAGTGCAAGCATTTTGATGTTATGTTGAGTAATTTTGGAGTGTTTGGCTTGTATGATTACTCATTTCAGATTCCTGTCTTCTGGACTACTTTAGCATTCATGCAGTCAAGCTACTGCATGTGCAATCAGACTTTGCAGTCACAAATGACACAGGTTCCAATTTGTAGTAATGTAGCATGGGAGTAGGTAGGCTTCAAGTGTCAGTCTTGCATAATTGGTGCCGGTATAGAATTTACAAGCACAATGCTCTAGTTGAAATTGTGAATTTTAAGGATTTTAAAAACAGTAGGCAATTGTGAATAGTTCTTACTCTGTTTAGAGATCAACTGTCTTTTTTTCCTGATGATTTAAAAGGCAAAATTAAACGCATTTTCTTCTGTTGGGTAATACGGTTCTAAATTGAAGTCAATTACTTGAAATCCCATCCTTCACTGAAAAGAACAAAAATAAGATTAACAGTTATTAATCGAGCTCATACCACTATTCCCAAGTTGATAAGAACACTTTTATTAGAACCAGACCACTGCTCCTGGCCATTTCTTCTGAAAGCAAGCAGAGCTCTTTCTTTCAGAGATGCCCACCTTTACTATTGTTTAAATTTATGAATTTTCTTCTTTAAAAAAAAAGACCATTGAACAGAAATTTGTTTGCCTAATACCTGCCTAATTTGATTCCTTTACAATTGGCATACCTGCTTTTCAACTGCTTGTGAACGTCCTTTAAGCAGAACTAATCACTGACTTAATCAAAATTATTTCCAGTTATTTCAAAATGTTACCTGATTCTACATTGTATTCAGAAAACACATTAGCAATCAGAGCCAGTGTATATCTTATTAACCATGCTTTAAACACGTATTTTGATAGTTTTATGTCAGGATAAATAATATAAAATTTTGGAGTAACAACATTCAGAGTTCCCAAGGGAGTTCCTATGCTATGGAATTCAGTGCCTTCTGTCTCAATGGGCAGAATCAAAGGCACTCCTAGTTTCACACTGCTCACATCAGATCAATGTGCTCCCACTGACTTCAATGTCCCACTGACTTAAGAGAAACCGGTTGTACTTTGTCATCTCTTTAAAAACATATATATTAATAAGAACTACAGATGACTTACCTGAGCACTGAAGCATTTTCCAGTCCTGCTGAAGCCGGTCTTTTAATATTTTTATTTTATGTACTTTTTCTTGGGTAGGAGGTACGTAAGCTCCAGAGTGAGACACAGAAGCACCTGCTAGTGCTTTGGCTACATTTTGAATTAGATTTAAGTCTGTGTCCTGTTTAAGAAGAAAATGGAAAATACCCTTTCAATACAAACTTTCTTCATTCTAGTAATACCTGACAGAGTTTCAAACCAGCTTTTGTAAGTTGGAGAGTTAGTGGGGAACAGCTTAAAATAAAATCGTGTAGTGAATTATTCACTGTTTCCCAATAAAGAACTAGAAAGCATAAAAGCAACCAGAAATTACTGTTTCACAGGACACACAGAGAAACTGTGTTATAGTCACAAGATGCTGCATAGACAGAGAGCGTAAGCTGACTTCAAGAGATGAAATAAGTTCACAGAAGACATGCTCACTGGCACTTAACATGGAAGGGGAAGCTAATCTACAAACTGAGGCAAACTGTCACAACAGTATCTATTGTGTACAGACATAACCACGAGTTCAGGCCTTGCATTTATGCCTCAGCTTCCCAATCACACAGGCTGCCTACACCTTGGTGTGTGTCTGTGTCTGCCTTTCTTCTCCGGCCAGAGAGGAACTTGGGCTGTTTCTGTAATGAGCTCAGAGGTACCAACCAGCCAGTATTTTCAACTGAGCAGCTCGAGGCAGTACACAGCAGCCATGCTGCTGCTTGATTTGGGTTCTGCACTGCTCACTTTGAAGTACCATGGCTCAGCACCACTTCTTACCTCAATCACTGCAAGAATTCGAGATTCTGCTAGTCCTTGTAGTAAACCAAAAAGAAGAGAAATTCCACTTATTCCGATGCTCCTGTTTGGTCCAACAGCTATTACTATCAAATCGGGTTGATAACTATATGCTACAGGAAGAATGAATCCAAGTACAGCAGAAAAGAAGTCACTCCTGTCAGCATCCTTTAACAGCAATGAGAAACAGTTTAGCACAAATGTAAAGCCCCAAATTCCCAGAGAGGATAAAAAAAACATAACATGCACCTCAAAAAGCTTTTTTTCCTTTTTTTTTTTTTTTTTTTTTTGCATGGTAACTCTGCCTTCTTGAAGATAAAATACAGTAGCCACCGAACATTTCCTCAAACCTATGCATTCTAATACACCCTAAAGATCTGTTAAGGAGTAGCACCATGGAAAGGTCAAAAAAGGAAATATGTTCAAAGGTGCAAATTAGAGAGAGGAGTAATTCTCAGTGCCATTTTATGAATTTGTAAATATATTCTGTTATAAAAAAGTTTTTATCTTATGTTGTTTCCAGAAAGTGAATCTTACCTCTTTCCAATTCAGAGAAATAAAATGTTTAGAGCTCATCGTTCCAGATTGTTCTTTCTCGCAAATATTTATCACAAGTACTTTTCTGTAATCAAAAGCCACATCTCAGTACTTCACCAACAACTTCCAGTGAGATAAAAATATCTCCCTTCTTCCATCGTTCCTTAAATACTAAGTCATATCTCAAGAGCAAATAATTATTTGCATTATTATGTGCTATCATGTAAGCACCAATTAAAATTGAAATCATACCTTTTTCAAGATATTAAAAAATATTTTTAAAAAGTATTAAAGACTACAAGCAATCACTTTTAAAAAGAAGAGGAATTGGCAAAAAAAGATATAGATAAATAAAGATGACTGTCAATAAAGAATTCAGCACAAGCACACCCAACTCTGAAATTACACAGCACATATTTTAATGTATATGAAGAACCAAGTTATTTTGCTTTTTTATTCTCAGACCCTACCCTTATGCTAAGCATCAGCACCATAACTGTGTGCTAGGTTTTTGTTGCAAAACTCATGGTTTTGGCTTTCCATCTGATCTCTTTATTTGAGACCAACTGAACTTTTCCTTTTTGTGCTTTTTCTTTGGGGTGGAAGTGTTGCTTGTTATGTTTTTTTTTTCATCTGAAGCAGCAAATGAAAAGTCTATGAGAGAGACAGGCATGGGATTTTTAAAGAAGCAGATGACACAACATCAGAAAGAGGGAAGTTTAAGGACTGTGGCTTTGCAGCACACTATCTGCCATGTCCTAATGCTATGCTGGGTCATAATTTAAACTGCTGTATGTTAAATGCCTGTTACCATTCCCTCTCATAATCTCCACGTTTTCAGAAACCATAATGCTGAAACACTAAGACAAAACAAACAACAAACACGTAGTTTGCAACATATGCAAACTGTTTATTAGTAAGTTTTGAATATAAAATGTACTAAGCTGATTCTATAGTGTCATACACCCACTTAGTGATGTGTAGATGGCTATACAAGATTTGAGGCATGGAAGAAATGCGTCTGGTTTTATTAGGGCTTCTTTAAATTAGTAAAAAAGTGAATCTAGATAATTCAGTTAGGACTACTGTATTTTTGCTCTTGAAAAGGAACAGAAGCAGTCCATGATATCATTGGAATTTTATTAGATTTATTGTATTTGTGAAAGTTGCTTATTTGCTGCGTGATTTTATTCCTTCCTTATTTTACTTCTCTTTACAACTACTAGTCACATCCTTGTTCTCTTTTCCTAAAGAAGGCAATTTTTAAAAGATAACAAATGAAAAAAAAAAAACCACCATGAATTACAGCATGATTTATATGGGTATTCCCAGATGGGAAAACAGACTGATTTAATTTGACTGTACACATTTACAGGAGTATCTCCAACAGGGACATAATCCACATGTGAAATCAATGTTGCTTAGCTGAAAACTGTCAACAGTGAATTTCACATTCTCCTTTTTGCTGAATGGATAGAGCTGTATGTTTAACTAAGAGGTTCCTGCACAGAGCTTGACTCCTGATTTAATTAATACAGACTAAGAAAATGCTCATAGAGCATTCATCCTGGGAGATGGTGGAGTCACCGTCCCTGGGGGTGTTTAAGGAAATGTTGGACATGGTATTTAAGGACACAGTTTAGTGGGTAATAGCGGTGGTAGTGGAAAGTTGGACCTGATGATCTTGCTGATCTGTTCCAACCTTAATGATTCTATGATTCTACGTGCCTCTTGCAATTACTGCAGGGCTAAAAAAGATCCTGATCAATCCAATCGTGTGTTTCACAAGCAGGTAAATTTAGACCAAAGTCTGTATATCTGTAATAGCATATCTCATATTGGTGATTTTAGTTTGATCATACATGCTTTCATGCTATCAGTGATTTTAATATCATTTATATTTCTCTCATAACTTACCACTTTAAAATTCCCTTTTAAATACTTGCCTTCTTTATTACTTTGTACTTTCAATATTACATTTTCAGTAAAAATCCAAATTGTGATTGATATAGAAGGATTGTACTTTAAACCTGCTATTAAAACTCACATAGCATCATTTAGAGATAGAAGTTTGTCCTAGAGATATATTTTGGGATGCTTTGTATTTTGTTTCAGGTTAAACTTGAATGAAAATCAGCTCATGACTGATTCCTTAGTGCAGATTTCATCAAACATATGGACACTTATGAACATTTACAGAACTTAAGGGATTTGACTCCTTAAAGTAAAGAGAAACCTCACCCATCTTCTGTGTTTGGTACGATCTGCATGTCTCCAACAAATACGCAAAGCACTCTGTAGAACACAAAGAAAAATCATGTATACGTGTATTTACATCTGCAAGTAATTTTTTTTTTCCCCAATTAGTGCAATTTATTTAAAGAGTTTACATGTAGATTAGACATAAAACAGAACGTACATTGTTTCTGAATTTGGTTCATTAGAAGTAAAAAGAAAACAAATTTATGAGCTCAAGGGAACTCTCCCACCAGTCCTATGGGTAGGAAAAAAAAAAAAACAAAAAGCCCTCAGGGCAAATAGAGTTGAAATCTAGCAAAGAAAACAAGACAGAAACAACAGTCATCCTTAAAAATGTTTTGCCTTTGGTAACGTGAGGTTTTTGCTGGCATATACAACACTGTCTGTACAGCCGATTGAAAATGCTAAGCACATGGAGAAGTTATTTGTTCCAAAATTAAGCTTTTCAAAGGCAACTTTCTGTATTTCATACACTTTTATCTTACTTTAACACTTTGCCTAAGGGTACCAAATGCAAAAGATTCAAATTCACCTTTGAAATCCAAAATGAACAGAGTATCTTAGTGCTACACCAACAGAAGCAGAAGCTGTGGGTGAATCTGTAATTCCATTGCATACCTGCAAAATACATTTGTTATTCAGAAATAATTAATGCTGCAGAAGATCACGCTATTCCTTATTTGTCCCAACTGTAATTTTACTCGGTTATATGTATCACTCAAACAAAGCTGTGTGAAAGGGATCCTGAGGTTAAGAGGTTAGTAATTCATTTTCAACAGGCCACATTTGATCATTATGCCAAGAGCTGTTGTATTATTTCAGAAGTGTGGTGCTATGCTGAAAAGCTACTGCAGAAAAAAGCTTTTGCAGGGGAAGGTCATCTTTACTGTGTCTCTCATTAGTCTGTGGATTGGACACACTCACTTGGCCAGTAGGCAAACTACACCTGAAAAACAGACAAGGAAAAGGAGGCTATCCCTGAACTCTGACTCTTCCTTTAACCTACACAAGCTATTCCTTTCTGGAAACGCAATGACAGTATTATTCCATCAACCTTGAAGTGTTCATTTGTGTTCCATAGTGCTTCGAACTCTACATGGAAGGTAAGCAAAAAGATAATGCATGCTCTCCCTCTTTGTATCTGTCAACACAACGAGCTCAGCTTAGCATCTGCAACTCATGACAAGTTCTATTTCCTTTTACTGGTAATTTTTCGCATCTATTTATAGACTCTTCTAGAGGCATGTGCAGCTTATAATGTTAGAAATTTGTCCCTGAAATTTAGTCATGACTAACAACAGCAGGAAGAAGGCCTATAAGAAAGAGGCCATTCTGACAGGTAAGTCTTCCTCACTGGCTTAATACTTTAAAGAGGGTTTGTCATTCAGAGAAAGACTGATTTATTACGACATAATAAAAATCTTGTATTTTTTTTTAACTTCAATTTTTTTTCTCTCTGTTTCTCAAAACATTTAAATATAAATACAAACTTGCAACCTCTAAGCCTGCCTTATCTTCCTTCCTGACCCTGCAAGAATCAGAGTACTGAATTGGAATTACTCTGTTTAGAGTCATAACACACACTGGTGTTGTAAACCATGCCATCAAAGTGATCAGGGGGAAGGGGCAGGAAAACAAATGACAGAGTAAATTACTGTGTATATATAACGGTAGGGGTGTACAGCTTTGTGTAGAATGGCATCTTAAAATCCAGGGTGATGCAGAAGTAAACTCTCTTCTAAAGACTGAAGGCAAAACTTTGTGCATTCAGACAGGAAAAAAAATTGAGATCTCTTGCTCTGCTTTCTTGCTGCTGCTCACTGGTGAGCAGCCTTCTGCCTCCAGCAAACTGGAAGAGTGAGCTCTTCCAGGGCTCACCTGTACATGTCTGAAAATGGTAAGAAAGTTCTTACTGCCTCATAAGCTGTGACTGCAGCAAAGCTGGACAATATCTTGGCCCAAAGATAATTAGAACAACGTTTTGGGGTTAGCAGCTATTCCTAAATGCTTTCTCATGTTGCCTACTCACTCTTGCTATCTAGCGTGGTCAGGATGAGGTTAGTGGGGTTGCGAACTACATAGTATCCAGATGACAGCGTAGAAGCTGGAGTCAGAGGAATACACCCCAATCCTCATGATTAAAGCACGTAATTCTTACCTCCTTCTTTAGTATTTTATCTAGGATGGCCAACATACTGCCAAGAGAGTGCAAGGTTTTGTCCTCTTTCACAAGGTCTGCATAAAAGTCACTGTAAAATAAATTATATGGAGAAAAAGTAGTTTAGGGACAATAACGCTTTTGAAGAGGACACTGTCTAACAGTACTTTGCAGTTACTGCTGACAGGGTACACTTTGTACAGATGCTGCACATTCACTCTCAAAGACTTAGCCCTGGCAGGAAGATGACAACACTCTTGCCTGACAATCTTAAACTCCCTAAACCTGTTTCCATTCTGCATTGGAAAGAAGACAAAAAATGCATGATGATACTCAGAAAATAAAATTCTGTCAGAATTAGACTTACTAAGTTAAAAAGTTGAGCATCTCAAATCAGACCAGTCTGGTGGGTGTGATTTTTTTTTTTTTCCAGCTAAAAGTGAACTTTAAGGCATCTTCCTAATAAAACCTCTTCCTAAATAAACACATTTGCACTGTTCTCTCTTGAAATAATTTTCTCTCAACTATTCTGATTAGTTTTGTAAAGGACTTTAAGGATATGATTGATAACGAACACCAATTTCTTCATTTTTCAAAGTAATTCTGGTTATGTCTGAAGAGACTGAGGCCAGAAACACCATGGCAGAGACAAAACTAGATGACAGTCTGTACCAAGACCTCTCATCCTTACACTCATGCTGGGAATTAAATAAATAGGACCAACCTGGCAAGAGCTTCTACTTCATTTTTGTCCATTTCCTTCACCACACAAACAGGTGCTGGGAGCAAGTATGCTGAAGCTTTTGACTGAGTTGTTGCTGTTCTGATGGGAGGCACTGGAAATAGAATATTTCTCATGTGCAATTCCAGAAATCTTTCTATTTTGGCAGCTTCATTGTTGTTAGTTATCTTATCCTCATGGTCTGTAGAGGGATTTGTGTTAGTCTTCTTTGGTAAGTGTGATTCAGTGCTCAAATTATGCAAAAATGATGTGTCTAGAGGGAAAAAAAAAAGAAAAAAGAAAAAAGAAGGGTTTCACATGTATTACTTTTGGAGCAGGGTGTTAATATTTATTTACATTTATTTACAAAACAAAGCACACCTATACTTTGTGTGCATGCTTACTTCCATGCACTAACTACAATGTTTCCTGCCACAGATGTTATTTTCCAACGATGCTACATTTCTTTTTAATCTAAGGACAGGTCATCAACAATAATAAACCTTACCTCCATTTTCTTCTCCACACAGAAAACAGCATACTCAAACAAAGATATTAAAGGACTACTTTTTGGTGTGATGTTTGACAGCTTTGTCAGTTAACAGAATTATTATTATTTTTTTTCAGACCAGTTGAGGGTTTGGCCCTGTATGAAGCCTCACAGTGCTTCACCAATCATTAGACAAATCACTGGTAGTTCAATTCATTTAAACCAGAGAAAATAATCATTTTGGATTTCTGTATGATTTAATTTACCAATCACATTTAATTACCTTCATACATCAACCATTTCCAATAGGGTTTGTGTGCTGCTCTCACATTCTGAATAGATTCAATAGCACTAAAAGAGAAACAGGTTTTACAGTATCAGCAGCGATGAAAGTACAGGAAACACAATTTAGCTCAATGGAAAACAAAACACATAACTGAAAATGAACAAGATCTGGTCTATTCCAAAAACACAGAACAGAAAATTAAAGAGAATGAGAGTTGATAGCCAGATTTTCTGGAAAGATTAGATTCAAGAGTCATTTAAAGAAAGTGAAGAACATGTGCAATTATGTGCCTTTTAAGTAAACTCATTTACACATATTGAGTGAAATCCTGACTGCTGCTGGATGAAGCACAGCTGTCCCTGACTTCAGGAGAAGCAGGATTTTGTGTCTTTCTCTGCTCTGTCAGAGATTTTATCATCTCATCAGAGATTACAGAATGTACAGATGTAGTTAAATTCACCCAAAAGCTAAACTACCTGTTCAGAGAGACTGAAAGAGGGGCAGAAAACAAGTAAATCACATTCCTTGCTGTTCTTGAACTCTTTTTTTACTACCACTGTTAGCACTACAGGCAAATGGCCCTTTTAAGCTACCTGTCATACAAACATAATTCACGTCACGGGAAATCTGGGACATATTCCGTATACATGGAGATTATCTGTAAGGTGTTCAGGTGCTGGACTGATATAATGGGTGAATAAGTGATCAACTCTTTATTACCTAGGATGATAGCAACCTGGTATATTATAATTCACAGAGGAGAAAAAAAAGAGGTGCTCCAAGTACTATGGGATACACTGGGAGCATCAAGTGGTCCTGGAGTCTGAAGAACTAATCTCTGAAATTACATACTTTCCAAAATACTGGGTGTTACTAACTGGCATTGCCTTGATTACAGCAGGACTGTCTCAGCACTGAGAAAGATCTCTGCAGGGTAACAAGGCCCAAGGATAAATAGCATAAAATTATGTGTGTCATTAAGAACTTCTTGAAACTCGAAATCATTTCAGAAACAGAAGTATGCAAAACTGCATCTTGGATGACTTTCTCAGAAAGCAAGTTATTCAAAGCAGAAAATTATGTATTATAAAGCATCATATAAAACCTTGTGTCAGCAAAGTGTTCAAAGCATGCATATTTTCAGTCTTGTTGATAAACACACGGGCTAGTCTAAAATTATTCACATGCTTACCTTAGGGAAGGGGCCATCTCTCCAGTTACTTGAGGTATAGGATCTCTAAGCAAAGCTTTTACAGTCATGCAGACTGATTCAGACAAGGACTTCAGGTGGTATCCACCCTAGAAAAGAAGTATTTTGTGCCACGTAAGGAACAAGTAGTTGTGGAATCTGAAACTCATCACAGGAAATAAATAAACTTTTGAAATACATCTGAATTCACATAAATGAAGATTATATGCAAAGACATTTAAGTCGTTTGCATATTGAAAATTACAAAGAGGCTACTTGCTGGACCACGGGCATCCCAGGACTCAACTCACTTTATCATGGTTCAATTCATTTTGGAAAACAGATGCCCTGAAAACGTTAAAAAAATATTTTCTTGCACTCATCTCCACAGCGTGCCACTTCCTACAATTCTTATGGAAGACTTCTTAGAAGATAAATATTATCGCTGTCCTCTAAAATGTCTGCACAAGGGAAATCTCCCACAGCCTGACACTTCTAGGATATGCCTGTCCTGATGATTTGGCAGAAGGTGGAGAAGAACTGAAGACAGATTTAAGACTGCTGAATTGAAGACGATAGACTGCTTCCTGCATACCACTTGCAGAGCCGTCACATCATCTGTATCATGAGGGGGTGCTTATCTGCACTTCAGCTAGCAGACAGAAGTACCTATAATAACCTGCTGAAGAAAAGGATGACAGAAGACAAGTCAAGCAAAGCAGAGGTCAAGTTAATCAATTCCTAAACAATTCAGTCTTGGAGACCTTGCTGGCAGTAATGAATGCACAAAGTTATTTACCTGAAAAGTTAACATTTTTCTAACATGCAAAAGGGGAGTAGAAATGTAGATCTCAAAATGAGGAAAGTGTTTTTTAAAAAAAGAGCTCTTCAAAAAGATCTCCTGCTTTTTTGATTAAAAACATCTAAGCAAGTTTAGCAAGAGCTCTGTTAACAAGTAAGAGAATATTTATGTTAAAGGTTTTTTAAACTCCTTCTGGAGTAAGACAAAATTGCAGAAGAATTGGTAATGCAATTTATTCACTAAATACATTTTAATATGTTGGGGACTGTCCAGAGCAGCAGTCTACAGTCGCTGCATACAAGAACTGAACACATCTGTTAAGGATGTGGTTTTGGAACAATGACCATATGCTCCATTTCAGTGTTTTAAGTTTTAAAAAAATCAACTCTTAGGCATCAGAAGAAATGCGTTGTCAAATCTTTGCCATTTTTGTACTCCTGATTCTCACAGAGATATAAAAAGAAGCAATGACTTTGTTAAGTTTCAAGTCTTTACCTCTAAGATGACACATAGCTTTCCATTAGCTAGCTGCATCAGGAGATGGGTAAGGTGGGCAAAAACCTCAGGAGTGGCATTCATCTGACCCTAAATCAAAGAAAATATTTGTAAGAGATGAAACCCTGAATCAAAAACACTGGTGAAAAAAACAAAACAGACAATCTGAAATACATGAGACTGAGTCAGAATACTGGAACACTCACTTCTGATTGTATTTAACAAAATGCCGAACCAACTGCTTTAAAGAAAGGTGCAAAAAATGATGCAGTAATTATGCCTGAATAATTTGTCTTTACATGTCTCATGGTATTTAATGAGTTGGGGTCAGCTTAAAGGCTCATACATGTATTTTTAGCTTGGTCATAAGTGAATTTCACCTAGCAGTCACTGGACATTGAGGATGCAGGAATATTTTACAAACACCTTTATGATTGACAACAAAACCCACAGCAAGTTACTTACTTCAGGGTCTCCAATTCCTGAATCATATCCAGAGGAAACAAGAACCAGTTCAGGATCAAACTGTAATAAAACAGAGATAGCTGTTAACACATTCTTTTGTATTTTGCATTGGATTTCAACCAAACCACATTCAGCTATTATTTCAGCCAGACCATAAATTATTTCAGTCAGACCATAAACACAAATACTCTACTTGAATTAAAAAGTAACATTACCCATTTAGACTGTTTTCATTCTTGATGGAAAAGTTGCAGAGCTTTGTACTGAATATTTCAACACTAATGTTTCGTAAACATTATTATGTTGATCAGGACATCATTCGTACCAGTAGAAATTACATGTTAACTGTGCTACTGGCAAGTACTGCAAGATACTTTCTACAAGATATTCAATGGTGTTTATGAAATAGCCTTTGGTTTTGCTATTCGAAAAACAGAGCAGTAAAAAAGTACCTCAAAAGCCATTGGAAGCAACACATGAAAAAATGCAGCAAGGTAATCTGAATTTCCCATCCCAACCTGCAAAATGTGAGAAATATAGGTCAGATCTTCCTGGTGGAATAACAGATTTTTCTGAGGTTCTTCATGACTTTAGGGAAAGATAGTATCAAAAGTTAAAGATTAGGCAACCATATGAGATAGAGTAAAACAAACTCCACGTATTTTAAGTGCATACACATCCAGCATTTTTAGTCTTAAGTATGAGCTTCAGTTCTGTGCTGAACGAAGATGGATCTTCTGAAACACTTTTTGATTTGATAGGTAAGATATTGGAGAAAGAAATAATGTGCATGTCTGTCTCTCCCTCATTTAAAAATAAATAAATAATCAAATTCTGAGCCATGTTTCTCTGCAGACATTCCACTGACAGAAATGAGGTACACTGTGCTATAACATCTGCCAACCAAGCGAAGCAGTGCATTTCTCATAAAGCATTAACTAATGCATGAGAAATAAAGCTATTGCATTTGCTTTATTGTGTTGTAAGCAACATTTACCTTATTCCAAGGCAAATTGATATTATAGCCTTTTCCTTTTCCCAGACCTACAGCATCATAATCAGATTCTTTGAGTGATGGCCAGAATTCTTGATGTTCATAGCGATGCCAGGAAAAATACAAAACACTGAAAGATACAAGAAACAGATTTAACTTGACAAAAAGGTTCCACGACTGACCTTATGTCCTGAACTTAGCCTAATTACTGAGTGAAAGCATGAAGACAGAATCAGCCTTTGCCCTTTTTTCTCTAACAGTCCTGGACTGCAGAAGTTGGTACAGGAGGTCCTATATCAAAATTAACCTATGATAATCGCTAGAATGTCTTGTATGCACTCCCTTCAGATCAAAGACAGGACATTTTCAGAAGAGCAGACTTGTTTATAGAACCTAATTCTGTGTTGTTTTGTTTTGTTTTGTTTTTTTTCAGAAAACAGTAAAAAGCTCATCTGTTTTACCCAAATACTACCTGAATATTTACACTGAGAGATTCCTGAATAGAAAGAATGGAGATACTACCTAAATACTCATATGGAGAGATATCACTACTGGCAAACTAAGATAGCCATATTGCTCTTTTTGTGTTTGTTATTCTTTACAGTAAGATAAATTGAAATATTTCTGTCAGGTTTTTCCCTCTACTTGATAACAAGTAAAAAACAACAGTCACTAAAATAGCAAGAACAATATTTTATAAGATTCTAGTTTTAGAAAGATAAGGAATCTTACTCTACAGAAGCAAGCAATATTTAACTGGCTAACATAAAGAATGAAATATCCTTCAAACCTTGGATCCTCTTCAAATATATACTGAGTTCCTTGCCCGTGGTGCACATCCCAGTCAACAATGAGGATTCTACAAAGATCAGTAAAATAAAACATTCAGCAGAAGCAGAGCACTTAGATCTAAAGGAAATGCAGATGAATAAATACGTTTTTATAACCCAAAAGGTATGTGACACACAGAAAGGTCTAAACATTAATCTAAAAAGGTATCATGTCAAATGGTTATCTAAATGCCATAACTGAATGAAAAGCTTCTTTAGGGTCAATGCACCTACCTCTGTAGACTGTATTTCAATTTTGCATATTCTGCTGCAATAGCAACATTGTTGAATAAACAGAACCCGTTAGCTGCATTCCTCTGACTGTGGTGACCTGGAGGTCTAAAACAAAGTTTTATACCATTACTCACAACAAAGGCAATTTTGGTAAGAAATAAAGACTTGCTCATATTTTTTACCTTACTAATGCCATTCCATTGCACACTTTTCCTAACATCACAGAGTCCACTAGTTGCAAAGTTGCTCCTACTGCTAGTCTGGCACAGCGGTAGGTGTTCTGAAAAAGAGAATCTCATGGTTAGCATCAATCTGTTTTAGACTAATCACAAATGACGTGCTTTGCACCCCAACAGGAAATAGACATAATTCTACCCTACAGTAGTTGTAAGCAGATAGTTAAAAGCAGAATTTTACAACACAAGTTCCAATGAGTTCTCTACTAGGTTTATCTGTGATGGTCATATCCTTTAAAAGGATGTGCTCTCCAGAGGAGGTAAGAAACATGAGATGTATATACTGAACTGACTGGTTCTACTGAATTAACATGGCATCTCTGAAAATAAGGAACAAAATCTTACAGAAGCAAACCAGAAAAGACTTCCCCTCCATTACCCAGCACAGCATTTAAGAGTGACTGTTATTAAAATGCAATTTGCAGGCCACTAATGGCTTACAGTGATGTAGTTAAGTAACAAAGTGAAAAAACTTGAGTAGTGTGCTATACTGGTATGATACAATTACAGAATAGATGACAGAACACTTAACCAGTTTAAATTACAGCATTACACTAAACTGGAAACAGATTACAATAATGTCATAAATACATGCAAATATATTTAGATGGCAAAAAAACTTATTGCCAATGTTCTCCTACTTAGAAAACTGCCACACAAATGCCACAATACAAATACGTGCAACTCCCAATTGGGGAAGTAGTTTAATTTACACACCGGATGAAAGAAAAAAGCATCATAATTCCCAGACACTCTTTTCAGTTCCTCTTCGTCCATTGTCTGTGTGCTTTTTGCAACTTCCAAGTGTTCTGAACTGCAGAGGAGAGAGAGAATAACACAACACTTAATTAAGCAAATCGACTTATAGCTTTAAATGCAAAATGTAATGAAAACAGAACATATGTTAAAAGGGGCTTGTCTGTGAGACTTCACACGCCCAATACCCTGGAACGCCAGTTGCAGGATACAGCGAAGAGAATCGGGAGCACCATGAAAGCAAGAGTTCTTGGATGCCATAAGAATATGACAATTATTGTTCTTCCTTTTCCAGTGGCAAAAGGGCTTAGTCGTGTTAGCACAAAAAGGCTGCTTATTCACTATGCAGTGATCTGTTTTGCAATGCATGCTACATAAAAATGCCATCCCAATAAGAACTAAATTAGGATTTTGGCATTCATCAGCACGTGAATTATGACTCTAGTCCTCCTCCGTTCATGAAAAACAGATTATCTGAATGAATCCCTTATCAGGTGTGTACTAACTCCTTTTTTCACTAGTTCAAGAGTGCAGTAAGTACTAAGGCACTAGAACCAACATTCCACCAAATCTCTGTCACTGCTCTCTTGCTATTGTGTAGTGAGCTGGAAATAGAGGCTGACGGCATCGACTCTCCAATGTGTCCTAAGCCAGGATTACAATGACCATAGATGCTTTCCCCTAGGTGGAACACCAAAGCAAGCAGAATTTCACAACAAAGTGAGACAAACACTAGTGCTGCCTAATGGAAAGTAAGCTAAACAATGGCTATAAAACGAAGGTGTTAACAGGAATAAACCAGTATGAACCTGAGTGTCTGTGTAATTATTAGTTTAACTTTATCATCAGCCTCATACCTCACTGTGAATGCAAGCAAAACATTTTTGTAGGAGCTATATACCTGTCTCAACCTGAAAGCGCTTTAAAAAGGAAAGAGGTCTATTATCTTTGGCTTGCCTATGGAAACCAAAACAAGACCTTTGTGAGTTTATTTGTCCCATGTAATCTAGAAGAAACAACTAAACTGGGTACAGTCATCAAGTCTCTTCAGTACCCAATCAGCAACATACATACTATGAAAATAAATTATATCGGTACACAGCACTAACTGCATTCTAACGAGTATATTACGAGGAAAAATAGTGCTCTGGAATCTGCTTCCCCTCCTTCTTCGGGAACTGCTTTTAAGGGAAGGCTCTCACTCTTGGCTACGCTGCAGTTGTGTTGAGTAGTTCTATCTGTGACCAGCCCTGAACCCCACTGATCTGGACTTGGACCCTGATCTCCTTAACATAAGGCCTGCCAAACCACCCTGAACTTATCAAGTAATCTAAACTCTTGGCTGAATCTGGTTACCATCACATCTTTGGGGAAAAGAGACGGTTATCATCTTTCTAAATAAATGTCACTTTTTTTTTTTTTTTAAATGTTCTGTTCCAATTTTTATTAGAAGTTTACTTTTAATACTATATATAAAACAGCATTCATTGCTCAAGAATACAGAGTGAGAATGGGGATTTAGTAGAACAGCAGATTTGCACTTCGGCACCTAAACCATACATATACACATATTGTTTGTACAACTCTAAGTCTGACACATTGCCATTGAAATTACTGAAAGTCATTGAGTTTTACAGCAGACTTCCATTTTCAAATGAAGCAAAATATGATCATGGCAATTGTTATTTCATTGGATTAATCTGAATGGTGATGAAAATAAATTTCAGACCTGTGAACTAACAGGATCTCCTCTTCAGTTCCTTCTCTGGCAGGCACATGGACACATCTTTCCACAAGATGGTAAAACTGAAGCTGCTCATAGGAGGCTGACAGTCTTTCTGGCACTTCGATATCACAGATAGGACTAGAAATAAGTGATAATCATATTACTATAGCACTATATCAGCATAGTTTACAAGTATTAATAACAATGCCTAACTTTTAACTTCCCATTGTGAGAAGATTCAGTATCTTCAGAGGGATGTGTAAGAATAAAAAAAAAGTTAAAAAAAATAATTCTTTAAATACTTTTCAGCTTGGAATTGTGTTAAAAATAATGATATAAAATCTCATATAAAAAGAATCACAATAGCATTTTTTGCTTCTTCTCTCATCACTTAAAGTAGCATTGGCTACTATACACACAGGAACACTGAAATGAAAATGTACTGTAGGTTACAGTGAAGGTCAACCGAGGAGAAATGGGTTTGGGAGAGAAGATAACAGCAGACTTCTACTTCAAGCACAACACAAGTACTGGTCTCACTTGCATAAATATAAGCAAGCAGCACATATAAATTTCTAACTGGATTTAATCGAAAGGTTTCAGATAAGTAAGTATATCTGTATATTTTTTTTCCTTGAATTCAATGATATTCAGCTTTATAAGCAATTTAATTAGCTTAAAATACTTTTATTTTGGAGATACTTTAGGGGTTTACTCAGATGCTTGAAGCTAGAGACTTGTCTTATTAAGGCCTCCTGGACTGGATGGCTACAGCTTCTCACATCCAACTTCAGATTAATAATTATGGCATCTGAATACAAAATAAGAATTGAAAAAAAAAAAAAAAGTTTTTCTACAAAAGGATAGACTTTCTGTTTACTAGGAAAATGACAGGATATCTATCACGAGACTTTTCATAATACATTTACAAAGAATTCATTCACTTGATATTTCTCTTAGAAGGCCTAATAAGAATCTATTCATAAGAAGGACAGGATGTTATTGACTTACTCATCCCAAAGCAGTTTATGACTGGTCATTTCCTCATCATAAATCAATGCTGTTCCTGAAGCCATTGCCATAGATAGAACAAAACAAAAATCCCCAGATGCGTATTTCAGGCTAGAAACAAACGTACAATAAAACAAGCTTAATATCGTAATAATAAGTGAGAACACGTGATAATAAGTGAGAACATAATAAGTGAGAACACGTGTACACAGCGTACCTGCTTGTATGAGGATTTTGCACTTTGAGTTTGTAAGTACAAAGTGAAATCAAAGAAAATCCTTTAGGAGGAACCCGGACAAGACTGGGTGGTGAGGCAAGAGTGCAAAACCTGATGGCAGGGATCTGGATGCTGGCCTCGCACAGGCAGGATTCCCGATTATCCAAATGCTTAGAGCCTCAGCAGAGGTGTTTCTGGTGCAGGTGAGGGGTTGCACAAGCTCTCCAAGCCCCACTCGCCCAGGCTATGGACCTTTTGAAGGCTGCAGAGGAGCTGAGGTCAGGCCTGTGCATGCCTTCTCCCAGGCGTTACGCGGGGATAGTCACCTGCTGGGGCTGACATGAAACAAAACAGGCATTTGTGAAAACTTCAGGTATAAAGCCACGGAGTAACACGATTACATACACCGCAGATCCCACAATACAGCGATTTACCGTGTTTAAAGCTTCTTTCAAAAAACAAACAAAAAAACATTAGAGGGATTTATTTAAGAAAACCAGATGCAGAGAAAGAGGGCTCAGACCGCAGCACCACCTCACCGCAGCCCAGGAGCAGCCGGCGGCTCTGCCAGCCCAGCTCTGCGAGCCCGCTGGGCCCCTAGCCACCTCCCTCCCTCCCTCCCTCTTTCCCCGCCTCCCTCCTTCCCTCCCTCCGTGTGGGGAAGCCCGGCCACCCCACACGGCCTCCAGCAGCCCCCGGAACCCCGCAGGCAGCTCCCCGGTCCCCAGCAGGGCGGCCCCGGCCTCCCCGCACACACCGGCCGCAGCTCCCCGGGCACCGCGGCTCCGGCGGCTCGGGGCGGGCCGAGGGCAGCCCCCGCCTCGGAGGCGCCGGAAGATTTGCTAAGAAACGCCCCAGCCCTAAAAGGGGTTTGCTTTATGGTTTGCTGCCGCTTATGCCGCTATACGCAGCGCTGGTGTAGAACAGGAGACCTTAAAACGTGTAAAATGACAGATTTGCCCCGAGGCTGCTTTGCTTTGCCAGAGCTCCGTAAAGTAGGTCTGACAGTTCGAACAATACTTCCATGCCAAACATCGTTCAACTACACGTATTATTAAGTTTTTAGTACATTAACAAGTAGGAGAGCAAATAAACAAACAAAGCAGGGCTTCCTCTCAAGTAAAGGGGAATAAATATACAAGTAACCCTCGAGCTAACACAATTATTCCTCTGTTTTTACATAGTAACAAGAGTCCACCCCTCAGTAATTCAGACTACAGTCGCAGGCTGGCTGAGGCTGGAAGGGACCTCTGAAGATCCGCGATGTTTCTCTGGCACCTTTTAAATGGGTCGCTCACTGCGGGGCCTGCACGTTGTGCTGACGTGAACCCCATCAGACGCCCCTCTGGAGCAGCTGGTGTGTGTAAGCAGTGACAGAGCTCTTTAAATATTTACCATTTTTCCAGTGGAGACCATCACAGACTCAGCAGGACCAAATGAGCTGAGCTTCTGAATAACCTACATTTTTCGAAACAGTGACTTCATTATACAATATAATTTGAATATAGGTTTCTACTAGTTTTCTAGTTCATGATAGAAAATCATGGAATCACAGAATATCCCTAGTCAGAAGAGACCCACAAGGACCATGGTGCCCAAATCCTGGCTCCACACAGGACCACCCAAAAATCAGACCCTATGTCTGAGAGCACTGTCCAAATACTGAACTCCAGCAGCTCGGTGCTGTGCCCACTGCCCTGGGGAGCCTGTCCCAGTGCCCGACCACCCTCTGGGTGCAGAACCTTTCCCTAACCCCCAGCCTGACCCTCCCCTGTCCCAGCTCCATGCCGTTCCCTCGGGTCCTGTCGCTGTCCCCAGAGAGCAGAGCTCAGCGCCTGCCCCTCCGCTCCCCTCGTGAGGGAGCTGCAGGCCGCCATGAGGCCTCCCCTCAGCCTGCTCTGCTCTGGGCTGAGCAAACCCAGGGACCTCAGCCGATCCTCATACATCTTCCCCTCCTGACCCTTCACCATCTTCATAGCCCTCCTTTGGACACTCTCTGATAGTTTTGTGTCCTTCATAGCACTGAAGATGCTAATCATGTGGCCACTGTAATATTTTGCATTTCTTGAATATTATCATGCTGTTGGTCTCCTACTGGCCACTTCTACAACTGGTACAGTTTCTGCGTTGACATTTTTAATGTGTCTGGAAATGAAAGGGGCCTTTTAATAGGGAAACCCTGATTTAGATTTCAGTTAAACCATGTTAAATTCAAGATGGTCACACAAGAACAAATAGATTTAAAAAAAATTCATTTAGCCTGTGCTCAGAGATGTTACCACTGAGACATCAACTCTATCATTGTAAAATGACACCAAATAACCAACACTTCTTGTGATTGGGGCTGGCTAAGCATATTATGTTACTGTGTTTGTTCTGATTTATTCCATTTTGATTCTGGCAAAAGTGCCCAGCAGAGGGCCACCTTCTGTTAAAATACACCGATGGCAGAGAATGAGGTGGATTAATGAAGCATTAAGCAAAAGAAAGGTAACTCCAGAAAATAGCAGGGTGCATGCTGCAGAAAAGGAAAAAAAAATTTAAAAATAAAATAAAATAAAAAAACACTAAAGGTACTCAGCTGGATTAAAACTGTTTCATGTCAGTTTTTCTACATATTACAGATTTTTGCAATAACTCAAAGAAACATTTATAAATAGTTGACCAAGTTCAAACTTGACAAATAGCTGGAACACCACAGAAAGAAGTCTATGATAACACTGGGTTTAAGTTCAACTTATAATACAGTTTAAAAGGAAATGAAGACTTTACATTGCGTTTATAGTACATTCTTATTTACAAAACAGGTTTGGCATAAGAAGAAGAAGAATCTTTTTACAAATATTAAGATAAATATTTACAAGCACTTATGATATCTCCACTTCTGAGTGGCCAAAGTCAGCTGGGAGTCCCTCCTCTGCCAGCGATAAACCTGATTCACTAAAATGATACCCTCTTCAACCTTCCCCACAAGGAGATATACCATAGGACGATGTGTTTGAGTCATCTTCTGTGTACAGTTTTCATTGATAAGCAGCCACTGTTGTATCATGTTCTGAGTTTCATAAGGCAAGAGTGAGCCCTGGGTAATAAATTCCACTTGGCATTCAATGTTATACTCTTGGTCACCAAGTAATGTTCTTTTTTTGGATAGCTTTACTTTCACTGCTAAGGAAAAAAAAGAAAAATATAAGTCACTACATTTGTTCAAATGAAGAAATACACACTACCAGTGAAAGCAGGAAGATTCCTTAAAATACTCTGGCAATTTCTGGTGATAGAATATGGTGACATCTTCTCCAGCAGCAGTATAGATGTAATATTTTTTTTTATAAAGATTATGTAGCTGAGATTTTTATTTTTTATTTTTTTCACTAAATCAGACAACTAGGAAAACTTATTTTCACAAAGGTGAGTAATATATTTTACCATCGCTGTATATGATGGTGACTTTGTGGATAATTGGATATTGTAAGCTGTTGGCATTTCTCTAATAGCATAAAGTTGCCCACCTTGCCCAAACAAGTCTACTGAAACTCACTTTGCCTATATTATCAATCCCTCTGCAAAAATAGCCCATAATGCTTGCTGATACCACCCTTTGAGATACTCCCTTTTCATTACAGGCATCTATCCACCCCATGTGGGGTATCCACCCCAGCACTTCTTAGCATGAAATTTCTCTGCAGTGCTTGATCTAAGGCCAGCTGAATTCACTGACAGCCTCTGCATTGACTTCAAAGGACTTTGCAGGACATTTCTAGGGCAAACTCAAAAGTATTGCCTGTCACTCCAATAAGACAACACAAAGTAAAAACTTGACTGTTACGATTTTCCGAGTATTTTCCAAGTCTTTTCAGTAAGCTATGCATCATGAACAACTTACACGCAGAAATAACAGGACATTCACTGGTCAAATAACCAAAGCTTTACTTTGGGTTTAAATAACAATAAAAGACAAATCAGCTAATTTGGATGCTTTTGCCAGAAATATTTTCCATAAATCATGTTGTACTACAAGGTAGTCAGCTCAACAAGAACAGAAAAGCTATTTTTCTGTGGAGTAGATCATAAAGAAGTCTTTCATGTAAAATAAATATTTTGCTCAGAAAGAACATATTCTGAAAAATAACCTAAAGTTAAATCAGCAACCAAGCTCTCAGGATGCAGACTTTGAAATCCCAGCAGAAACTGTAAGCTACTTTAATCCTAATTTTAAAGCACTTTTGAAAGAGAGCTGCTAGTTTCTTTAATATCAGCTGTATTCACAAAGACTTACCAAAGTTATTGTCACAGAAAACTTCAAGAACTCTTTTGTGTGTAAAAAATTCCTCCACTGCTGGGCAGGTCTGGCATGCAGGCTTTGGTAGGACTGGTGAAAAATTGTAAAGTCTTATCATTACCTTTTAGAATGTTTTGTATTAGTTTTCTACTGTGAGCCTACTGCTTATCTACAGGTACGGCATAGAAAATACACAGCTGTTTGGTAATAATGTGAACATCCACATACTCCTCTGAAAACACAGTTAAGAAGGAAAAGGAGTTTCAGTTTCCTTGCCCATTCACTCCTTGTTCAGACTGACAAGCTCAATCATTAGCATCAAAAGTCAGTATGAAATAGAGTATTATTTTTAATATGGCTGTGGGTTGGGTGAGCAATTTTGTCAGTGATCCTGGGTTCAGCTGAACTTAGACTGAACATACAAATTTGGGTGTGCCAGCAGCAATCTACTTCTACTGTTTCCTGCATACGTAAATAAGCCTAAGCACATTTGAACATTTTACCATTAATGTCATTCTAAGTCAGGTACAGAAAATTAGATAATAAATCCTCCCAACTTTTCCAAGTTGGTCTGAGGACCAATTTAATGCATATGTGAGTTTCTCAGATCCCTATTAAAGTTGGTAGGTCTATAAAGAGACTTCAAAATAAATCAAATACAGTGTGCTGTCATGAGTATGATACTGCCTGTAGCTGTGCAGGGAGATAATCATTTCCACCACTAAGAGTAGACTACCTACACTTCATTTTATTGAAACTACACAAAATCCCAGACTGGGAACTGCGTCTCTTTTATCTTCTTGTATCTCTGGAGCATAAAGTATAGCCCCCTGCCCCTCTGCCGTCTTCCACCTACCTTTGTGCAAGTATTTATACTCCTTTGTAAGTGATGCCAGACACATGTCCTCGTCTGCAGGGAATCGGTCGCAGTCCAGGCTGTCTGGCCAGGAGTGCCCATGGCAGGCAAGCACGGGTGCGCAGCTGTCCCGGACACCTACACACATACTCCTACAAGGATGGATGAATCTGCATCGCAGGAAACACCAGACTGAATCAGTTAAAGTCAGTGGTAACAAATTATTTCAGCAGTAATTTCTGTGCAAAACACATGCAGATATTTGACATCCTTCAGCAATAATACAGTTATAGAGTGGCAGCTGTGCAAATTGGGCATGTGGTCTGTACACGTACCGGCTTGTGCTTATAGAATTAAGTTACCTTTTTTTTAAAAAAAAAAAATGCTTTTCTTACTATCTGAGAAAAGCTTTGGCAAGAGCCTGAGTCTATGTGCAATGGGTGTTCGGTTTCAGTTTCACCTGGATTTAACCCTAAATTAACAAGAATAAACTTCAGCTACAACAAACTAAAACATGACATTCTTTGGCAACAGCATTCATTTCCTCAAAGCAAACTAAAGTTTAAGTGGAACATGTTTTCATTACTTGTATTCGCAGTGAGTATGAAAAAGTTAACAGAATTATTTCAGATAAAGTAGAGATCACATTTCCATTGCAACAAACATGCATCTGATTTGATCCCTGTTCCGACAAACAGGCTGGCCATACGGAGCCATGGTACTTACGTATCTAAACAGATGGGTGCAAACAGAGAGCACAGGAATGTCCTCACGTGAGGGTGACAGTCTGTGTGCACCAGGTGCTGCCAGGTGGTGGATTTTAGGATAACCTCTGCCATGCTTGTGTGTCCCATCAGGTTGGGAAGCCTCATTTCGGAGTACCCAATCTCGTGGCACATGTCCATCTCCTCGGGTATCTCTACACATTTGGTGGATAATCCAATGTCGAAGCCCTTTACCACTCTTAGGAAACCACTCAGAGCGAAAACAAGTATTTTTGCCATCAATAACATCTTCTAGTGAGCCCTGGGTTGCCAAACAGGGAGCTGTCAAACCTCCCAAGCACAGGGGCACACTGAAAACTTTGTGGCTTATATACCCCAAGAGCTTAATGAACCCTTGGTTATCAACTGCTTATCAAATCACTTGAGACAAGACCCAGTCTTATTGCCTATTCAAGTGATTGTTGTGATAACCAGGGAGGTGGAGACGAGGTATAGAAGTATGTTCCCTAAAGTAACAGATTTGCTATAGGCTTTCACGTGCCTGACAGTGTCAGCTGCTGCAGCATGCTATGTGGCATATTAAATGTTGACACCTAGGAGGCTTGCTATGTGCTTTCCAAATCAAATTAAGAGATCCCCCAGAAAAGTGGTTGGGCAGACAAGCTGTCTCCCAGGGCTGCTCTGTCTCCTTTGTTTTCAGACACTGCTGACTGGGCAGAAAAAACAGCCCAGACTGACTTATCAAGTGAAAATGTTTTGCTTGTGCTAATTGCTCATGTCTCTTCCACTGTTTTACAATGTAGAAGAGGTACCTTTTTTATTTGCTCAAGCACCAAAAAAGAGACATGTGACATGCTAAATCTTCCAACTTGTATTAGTTTTATTAGACAACCTAACACACAGCTGTTGTTTTTTACTGACTGGAGTGACTACAGGACTTGCTTCTTTCACTTATTCAAGTTCAGTGGTGGATTTAATCTTTCCCGACAGAAACATATTGTAGGACTATTATGGCTATCAGTATTTCTTCAGAGGTAAAAGAAATATGGATTTTTTATTTTTTTTTCTTATTTCAAATGAATCTGGTAACACTTAAAATTGTTGAAATAACTCAGCATTTGACATTTTTATTAATAAATTATAATTGTGCAAAACCGTGTGAAAGCAAATTTGTGAAAGCAAGAAATACCAGGTGTGTACTTTTTCTGTTTGTAGCACAGAAATAGTATTTAATTTCTTACGAGAAATATTAACAGAATTACTGACAGTATTTCATTGGTTTTAGTATAGGACTGATAAACAGATTTCAGCTGTAGAGCAGATGATGGGGAATCAGTTAAGGTGATGATCTGGGTAATGTGTCCCTTACCCGTTACGAATAGAAAAGTCAGAATATTTGATATTTAAAAGAGTTGAAGTTCTAAACAAAACATTTTGTGGAAATTTTTAGCTTGATGAAAATATTTCTCCAACTAGTTTGTTTTGGCTTGACTTAATTACCCTTTCTTATCACATGATTTATTAGCAGAAATGTTTAGATGCTAACAATATGTATGTGGATCAACTGTAAAATATCTGCCTAGATTACTAGACCAAAGTATATTCATAACAGTGTGCCATCTAGTATTTCTGGTGCTTGACTGAAATGTAATTTTCAGAAAGAGCAGCTTTTTGTGTTATACCTATATGTAGTACATTTAGACACTGTGCTGCCTATCATTTACATGTTTATACCTAAATGTTAGAGTATTAGTCCTAGCATCTTTGAAATCAATGACAAACCCGCACTGATTCCTCTCTAGCTCTTTTCTTTATTCTAAGCTACTGGCAAATTTATGGTATCTGTTTAAATATATCGGGAAAAAAAAGGCACCTGGACATCTCTGACATTAATGTCACTTCAACCCCCAGCAGCTGGAGTGAAACTGAGAGTTACAAATAAAGTTCACTCTTAGCCAGCAGATTTCTGCATCTATCCATGTTGCTAATGTCTTTACCAAGTCACCCCATAATTTTATGAAATTAATCAAATTCTTCTCTGGCCCTAATAGCATTATTTTGTTGTACTTTTCTCATCTGGTCATTACCTGAAATAAGGTGTCAAGATCTCTGGTAAAGGAAACCCTTCCGTTGTGTGTATAGCATGGTGTTACAGGCACATTTCTGAGACATATATATATATTAAGGGTCTGGAAAGTGTCGTCTGATGGAGAAAAAAAGAAAAAGAAAGAAAGAAAGTAACAAGAGTATGTTTTGGGATCTCCTTGCAGAAGTGCTTAGCAGGCTCTGCTGGAAGCCAGTTTGGGCTTTGTAGGCCTGGACACACAAAAAGGAATTTCCAGAGCCAACAAGCTTTGGAGGGAGCACAGCTGCATAGTTATAACCCTCGGATATGAACTGAGGAACATGTTCACATCCAAAATAACTCCACACAGCTACTGAGATGATCTATACCCACTCATGAACACAGCAAGTTGGCTGTGACAGCACCCATGTGGCCCCGGTCACAGGTGGCAGCCATTTTGGCAGCCATGAGCTGTGCCTGCGCTGCTCTGCAGGAATGGCCTCCATGGTGCCACCAAACGGGGCTCACGCTGCCCTTCCCATCCCCTCTGTGCCTTGCAAACAGCCTGGACACGTGCCCTCATGCGAGGGCTGTGCTCACGCTATGCCTGAAATCATGCTTGCTGGCTTGTGATCTAAGAGACCTGATTTTGAGAACTCCCTGTGGGACATCATTAATGGACAGAATAGACACAGGGATAATGAGAGAGTGTGAGAAAAAGATGATCTAATAACAGCTAATACCTCTCCTGACAAACTTAGTCTCCATAGGAACTGTCTTAGAAATAAATAATTGTGTACCTCTGAGTCAGTTTCCTACCAGGGTTTCTCAGGAGCTTGGTCATTTATGAGCCACCACAGAGCTGTACCTTAAAGCTTCTTTCAGCCTTAGATATGTTACAAAGTAGGTCAGCTGTCTTTGAATTCCTTGCTTCTAGTGACTTGACTTTCAGTGGGTCACCATTTCCTAATGCTAAAGAAAATTGGTTTACTCTGCCAGTACAGTGGAATAGTTGGAGGCTGATGGCTTGACCACTCCGGAGACATAAGGAGACAAAAGGCATCATGCAGCTCTCTCTGTGGCACAGCACTTTAGCTGGAACCTGGGGGACTGAAGGGTGTGGAAGAAGAACCGCCATGATTTTAGCTGTCAGTGCAGACTACCAGAGAAGTGGCAGTCCATCTATTTTGCTTTTCTTTCTTCTTTTGAAGAAGTTTACCCAGGGAACAGGAAGACTTCATGTCTTTGTCAGAGGTGCTGAAGCATAGTGTATCTAAATATGCTTGGCAGATAAATAATTGTCACTGGCTCTGAGAACAAAACAGACACAAATGTCTTTGCTTGATACCTATCACTGCATTTGGTTTTAGGCTGGATGTGAAGCCAGAGCGTTATCCATAATCCCAGTCTGTCATTTTTGTTGGCTGCCTTCTGTCAGAAAAAAAAAGATCATTTGGGGGAGCTTCTGCCTCTGTTCTATTCTGACAGTCATGGGGTTCAAGATGTTATCTAGGCCAGATTGCCTAGACTGTGTCATTTTCAGCATCGTTATTTACTGTAGAATTTGACAATTTGACACTTCCTTTCCCCACACTCACAAGTCAGTTTTAAGCAAGGGAAAGATTTTGGCTATGCTTCTATGTAGACTTAATTATTTTGATATTACTCATGAGCAGGTGTTACCTTGAAACTTGTTTTGACAGCAAGTCATTATCATTTATCATTTTTAGCAAGAGCCATGTAGCACAGTTATTACAGATGGGCACACAAAGTAGGTTGCCATTGCTTGGAGAGTGTTTCAGGTCCATCAGACGCTGGATCCTTGGCAGAAGTATGAGTTGCAGCACCTGTGTCGCTGTGCCATGAATTCTCCTTTTTTTTGCAAATGCTCAGCTGTTCATTGACATTGTATGGAAAAAAAAAAAGAAATAATCATGTAAATACATGCACATCTCGCTTCTGTGAACACAGTAAACTGTGATTTACTGTTGCCACGCCAGCTAAACATTCAAATTACACAATAGCTGACAGAGGAGAGGTATTTCTAATTGTAGTGGTACATATGCAGAGATTGATCAAATAAAGGCTATATAAAATAAAATGAAATATTTTTAGTTCTGCAAACTATCAAGAGAATTGCAGGATCTGCATGTATTTTGACTGGTCAGCATAAAGCATAGGACCTGAGGTTTGGGGAAACTTTGGTCTCAAAGTCTGGAGCCCAGCTAATTCTCTCTGAAATGTTTGAAGAAAGCCGTGCAGTCGGTCCATTAGCCATGGGCTGTATTTATTGTTGCTGGATATGAGAAATGGTCACCTGCTGATGGACCCTGATAACACGAATAGTTGCTGGAGACCCTGCCCACCTCTGTTCTGCCTCCTTTGACTGTTCCCAGGGAGACAGACAAAGATTAACCCGGAGCCACCAGTCAGACCCTAATAAGAAAGGGGACTGAATTTTTCTTCAAAGAAACTAGGAATTTGAGAGCAAACTGGCAGATCTAGGGACTTTTGGATTTAATCTAAACAGTGGTTGTAATATTCAACTGGAATTTATCTGAAGTGTAACTGCAGAAGTGCAAGGCTCTTAGACAAGGACCAAAGCTTACAACAATGTACCTGGAGTCCCAAAAGGAGGCTTCAGAGAGGCAGCTGTTGCAGTGAAGGCAGCTTTGCTGGATGAACATGCTTATTCTGTGGGGCAGCATTTATTTCATAATGTTTTCCTTTATTGTATTAAAAAACTCTTAGGCCGTGTGTGATATCTGTAAACCAGCAGAGTTTTTTTTTTGTTTGTTTGTTTTTTTTACTCATCACAAAGGCTTTAATTTTTAAAGATTTTTAAAGAATTTTAAAGCATTGCTTTGATTTTTAAAGAATAGATATACTGGATTTCCTTACAAATCTGTAACAGGACAGTTGAAGGCTCATTGCCCTGGCATGCTGAGCTCTGTCCTTGTTCCTGGTAATTGGTTAACCCAGAGGAGAATTTGTTTTAATAGCGAAAGAGAAAGTTGGTGCTTGGCATGACCCAGATTTAGTTTCTGCCATCACCACAAGCTTCCTGTTTAACCTGTAAATTTTACTCACCTCACCCATAGACTTAGGTGACAGCACTTCTGGGTGACAGTACTGGGGGAGCTGGAAGATAAACGCATTTGAATGTGAAGCATTCAGATACTGCAAGGATTGGGAACAGGCATGTAAAGACTCACACAGATTCTGACAGCATCACCTAAAAGCACAGATACGGTGAATGCTATACAAAACCCGAGTGAGTAGCATTTCCGAAGCAGACCAGATTAGTCAGGGATGGAAAAAGGGCACGGGGAGATTAGCTGTCTTGCAGCTAGTTTTGGACAATATCCAGTGTGCTACGTGATAGAGTCTCATGGTACAGGCTGAATTCAATTTTTTACACAATTATCATGTATTGGGTGAGCACCTTTCACACAAAGCCAGTGGTAATAGCCACTTGTTTGTTTGTTCCAGTCACTCACTCATTCATTTCCTTCCTTCCTTCCTAGTCTTTCTTACTTTTTTCTTTTTATTTCTTTCTTCCTTTCTTCCTTTCTTCCTTCCCTTTTCTTTCTTTCCTTCCTTCTTTCTTTCCTTCTTTATTTATTGTAAAAAATCAAACTTCTTAGGGTTATTTTTCCCATTGTTATCAGTTTGCTGACTGTTTTTTCCTGTCACAGAAATGTGTATCAGAGCTGCATCCCCTCTCAGGCATCTGTATCAAGCAGCTACAAATAAAATAAAAATCTAGTTTGAAAGGAGAATGTGCCAAATTATTTCTAAACCTCTGTGAACACAAGACAGTAAAAGTAGGCTCAGGAGTGTTTCATAGGACTGTGGGGGATCAGTCGTCTTGCCTACATGTAAACAGCAAGTACATACCAACTATTTGTAGTCCATTGAGAAAGTAAACAGGGTTGTCTTGCCTATCCCCAATACTTTCTTTGTCTGTGGCCTGTAGCCAGCTACTGATTATCACGATAAGGCAGAAACACATTAAGTCTTGAAAATTATGTCTGGCTTCTGGCTGTTAGAGGAGATAGCTCTATCAGTTAAGCACCTAAAAGGCTGGGTGAGTGCTCAGCTGACTCCAGCAGGCCTGGAGCCGATCCCTTTTAACTCACTTGACAGCATTTTGCATCTAACTTCTCCCTACTCCAGCTACCTGGAGGAAAGGCCACCAGAATTTGACATGATACCATTAAATGGCTGGCCAAACTCTCATCTCTTTGATGCCACTGGAAACAACGGACCTGAAGCATTGGTGTAAATGTCAGACTTCATTGTAAGGGCTTTGCTCAAGCAGCAAGCTTGCATAGTGCCTGTAAGGTTTCACAAATAAATAAATGTGCCTAAAATATGTGAATAGAGACATTATGGGCAATTCTTCTCTAAGCAAAATTTCCTCTGGCACTAGCAAGAGTTTTTTTCTTGAATAATGATGGCAAAATGTAATCTCTTTCCTTGGGCTGAAAATGTATTTGAATGTATATAATCAAATCGAGTGTCCCCATTGCAAGTGGCTTTGGTGGACTGAGAAGAAAGCAAAGCTTTGTCAATAAATAATCAAGTGAATTTCAGGTTCTGGACTCTGTTCGTTGGGTTCCTGGCAGCTTTTTTTAAGGGTATAGATTTACATTGTAAAATTTTGAAAAGAAAAGGTATTTTTAAAATTTTGAAAAGGAAGAGTATTTTCTGGATAAATCTTTGCCCAATTTTTAAGTTTCTATGTCAGACTAGTTTTGGAAAGAGATTTTTTTTTTCTAAAAAAATTTGCAAAAATTTTCATTCAAATACATACAAGTAGAGTAAACTTTGGGTGGCTTTATGAAGACAAATGGCTGTGCCCTGAACTCAAGTGTGTGCAGAGTTTCAGTTTTCAAAAATTGTTTGGGGATGCAGGGAAAAGAATATAGATTTGTAATTGCGATAATTACAAGCTACTTCAGAGAGTGACTGCCTCACAAATGAGTGCGCCCACTCAAAGGCACGCAATACATAAATGTTACCTGACTGCTCTGCGGATACTTGATGGGAATAGTTACTTCTATTCTGCTATCTGAACTCGGTAGGAGATGGGTAAGGGATACTTACTGAAGGCCTGGATGTTCTCTACTTATTTCCAGTGTCCCCATTTTAGGCACCCTCCTGCAGACACCTTCTGGAAAAGGATGACCACAGGGGACAGCCTTTTAATGCCTGTTCCTGCTGTGCCAAATGACACATTTGCTCTTATGCCTGTCACTAATCTACTTTTCTCCTTTATTTCTCACGGAGCTCTCAACTCAAAACAATTTCCAGCTTTCAGTTAACTACGGCACAGGCCTTCTGCGTAAACCACTTTGATTACAAATGTGCAGCCAAATCACACCCCTGTGTGCCAGGGAAAGACAGCAGGCTGGTGGTGCCCATAGCCTACCCCAGGGGCACCAGCCCCTCGGTCACGTATTTGGAGCTCCACCACCACGCGAGCTGATTCCAGATGTGGCATCCCCTTCATTGGGAAATGAATGCTCCTTGTTTTTTTTTGGTTTGGTAGTACCCCCTAGCTTAGTGAAGCGAAGCAGCTCTGTATGGATGAGCTCTGGGAAGCACCAGGTACAGGTAAGAGAGGGCACCACGTCAGCCTTTAGTCAGATCTTCATGGGCAGCTGTGGAAGCACAGCCCGAGACGTCAAATGTGGTACTGGCTTGACAGAAACTGCTTCTTTTTCAATCAAACCTGTATGATTTTCCTTCTGTTGTCACACTGGGGTGGTATCTAGTTAGACAGTAAGTCTTCTTGCCCATCTGGTAAGAAATCTATTAGAACAGGCAGGTAAGAGTAAGTAGATCTGGCATCTTGTACGCTTACTAAATCTTTATATCTGCATCCTAACACGGTAACACTGTGCCTTCTGGTAACACTCTGTATTTAAGCAGCAACAGGCTCCTAAAATCTCCCCAACCCCAGCAGCTGCTCCTACAGAAAGCTTTTGCTTTGCTGTAGCGATTCCAACAACCGGCTTGAGAGTGAAATCAGCTGCTCCATCCTCGCTGAGCCGCTCCGTGGGACAGCCCCACTTGTGTTCCTGAGAGGCTTCCAGTTCTCTGCAAAGGGGGAGAACTCAACTGAAAGGAAAAATATGAAGGAGGAAAGAAAAAAATTTCAAATAGAAAGCATAGACAAAATACTCTTTAAAAAAAGACAGAGAAGAAAACAATCCTTCTTTCCCTGGGCCTTTGGTCTCCCAGAAAGTTCAGAGGGCAGCCGGGGCAGGTTCCTTCCTTTACACCATGGCTTGTGTCACACACACAGCCTCTGCTGAGATCAAAGACATTCAGTTTCTATTACCCTATCTCAAAGAGAAGTTCACTGATAAAGAAGTCTCCACCCTAATGATTAAACCCCATTTGGATTTGCATACCTGGGTGCGAGCCCTGCAGCCTGCAGGCCAGGATTAGGAGGTCGGTGACTCCAGTGCCCATTTGCTAATCTGGCTGCTCTGCCTGTCTGCAAAGCGTTATGTCCTTTGGCTTTCACAGCCATCCCAGGATGTTTTTCTTCTAGGGCTGCTACGGGGAAATGGAACCAAGATTAGTCCATCCTAAACAGCTGCCCAAGAGCCGAGCAAACAAATCAGAAAAAAAAAATACAGCAACAATTTGCTAACTGCTCAAAACTAAACAGTGCCTGAAATGATCTTTAGGGCTATGGTTTACTTAGGGTTAGTTTATGAAACTCAGGAATGGAGATGTGAGCCAGGGAAATAATTAAATCGAAGGCTAATTGGGAGAGGCTGAGTTTTTTTTGTTTGTTTATTTTAGGAGCCATTTTCATTCCCTAAATAATGTTAAGGGCTTCCTGCTGGTCGCAGTGACCAAGGATTGATAACTGCATCCACAGGAGGCTCTTTTCATTAGGGAAACCATAGCGGAGTAAATAGGTTCGAGGGGAAGGTATTTTGAAATTAGAGTCAGGGGCATCCAGAGACAAAAGATTTGTGTGTGAGGCTCTATTTTCAGACCTTAGAGGGTGCGTGTCTGCCCGACAGCTTTGCCTGGCAGTTTTTTTCCATGAATATGTCTGAGTGGCAATAGCAGTCTCCATACATACTCTCTCTGCATCTCTACTACAGCATCACTAGTGCTGCATGTACCAGGGCAGGAGAGCTTTTTTATTGGGTGAGAGAGAAAAATAATTTTAGAAAATACATCTGGAGAGTGTAACCTGAGAACTTGGGTGGGTAAATGCTCTGCATTTATATATATATATAATTGTGTCAGATTTTGCCATCCTTTCACACTGAGCAGTATTTTTCTTCCTGACGTTCCTTGGCTATGGGACAGAAGTACTGGATCTACAGGGTCACAGGCTGAGGCTGGCAGGGACCTCTGGAGACCCCCTGCTCCAATCCCCATTCAAGCAGGGCCACCCAGAGCAAGCTGCCCAGCACCACGTCCAGGTGGCTTCTGGAGATCTCCAAGGAGGAGCCTCCACCACCTCTCTGGGCAGCCTGTGCCAGTGCTCAGCCACCCACACGGCACAGAAATGCTGCCTGGTGGTCAGAAGGAGCCTCCTGTGTGCCAGTTTGTGCCCACTGCCTCTGGTCCTGTCCCTGGGCACCACTGAAAAGAGCCTGGCTCTGTCCTCTCCGCTTCTTTACTGATCCTGTACCCAAGGAGGACAATGACAGATCCGTAATCCATGATGACATCCTTAAAGCCAAGGCTCTGCCCCTTTTGCTTATGCTGCATGCTACAAAACATCCTGTTGACTTCAGTGGAGTTCTCCTGGCATGGATCTTAGCAAGCAAAGGTGGCCAACACAAATGGGCCACCCATTCCACCCACTGGTGTATTATCTTTTAGGACATTCTATAAAAACGTTCGGTTTAGGGATGTACCATCAAAAAAGATATGGATGGAAGGGACTTTGCCCTGCCATAAGAGTAAAACATCCTCATCCTAACACCTAAGGGATGCTGCAGGTGCGTGTGGCGAGCTGTGAAGGGGCCAAGCGGCTCCTCTGAGGGAAGGCAGCCCTGAGCTCCAGGCAGGCCTGGCTCAGCATCCCCTCCCCACAGGCAGGCAGATTGGTTGGTTTTTGGGGAGAGAAGTGATAGATTTTGATTTATTTGGCAAGAACGCTACTTGAATAGAGAAACAATGGAAAATGAGGGAAATCACTGCTTCTTCTGCTCTCTTTCAAGCTTCCTTTTTTCTCCTTTCCAAGAATAAATAACCAAGAGGAATGGCACATTTCTGGTTCGGACTCTTTAGGACCGGTCTTAATGATTTGCCTTTTTTTTTTTTTTTTTTTTTTAGGGCCTAACATTCCTGAACAAGCTAAAATAATCTTCTTTAAACCTACTAATTGATCGCAGGGGACGTATGGACCAGCTGACCATGATCATATCAGAGAAGCCTTTATTAACCCTACAGGCATCCTTGGGTATGTTTGGCACATTTTTGGGGCACAGCAACATTGTCAGCTGGGCTCAGCTCTCTGGCATTTTCTCACGGGAAGCCGTGCTTGTCCCACCTGAGGCGGGAGGTTACGGTGCAAAGCGAATTTTCCACTTACATAAATGATTTATATTTCGAAGGACTTCAGCTAATGCTGCCAAACACCAGCTACGCAAAGCAATTCCAAAGCTGGAAGACACACAGCAAGTTCATAACAGTAATGGCATCAGATCCAGACGATCATAACCACTGATCCTGCCATAAAGCACGAAGGGCTCCGAAATCCAAGGCAACTGAAAAACCAAAGGAAAGGTAGTTGATGCTCTGGCTTTGAGACTTGAAATGGCAACACTGAGTAGCTGTAGCAATTGCAGTTGCAACGAGCTCTGTTAGTGGAGAGAATCCCACTCGTTTGACTCCAAAATCAGACTCCAGATACTCATTTACCTACGGCTGTAGCTTCACACCTGCTCTGGTAATTCAGCACCCTGAATTTAGAGCAGCAACAGAGCTCTTTGATTTAGAAGCCATAAATGAATCACATTTAGAGCCCGTAATGTGACATGGGACGGGAATTTTATCGTATCCCTGTCCTCCCATTCTGTTGGCGTGCAACTTGACATCAAATCCACTGTATTCTCACTCCTGTGGTATAACCTGATGGCTCTGATTATTCACTTAGGATTTTATCCAATAATGCCTTTAAAAAAATCACCCTGTATAGGCTTTTCTTGTTTTTCTGTGCTCTCTTGTGGTTGTTTTCCTTCCTATCTCATCACTACCTTTTGCATAAATATATCGCATATGAAAAGCTTTATTGGAGTGAATTTTATTGTCACGACACTTACCATGGGGCTGGGCCAAACCCTGTTAATAGAGGCTTGCGATGACATCCTGTAGGTCTCCTGAATGGCAGGGAAAATATGTATTATTTTCTTCTGTGCACTGTATTCCCCTTGACCCCACGCCACACATCAACTGCTTCCCAGACATCTCATTTTTAGTATTTCATGGCGAGGGGACAGCAGTGTGAAGAGATTAACGTCATAACCATCCATCCATCTGGGGCAAGCACAGTTTTCAAGGTACTGTCAGCTCTGTCCCTGTGCTAGTACACGAACCGTGCCTGGCAGAGCTTGCTGGACCTACGACCAGCTGGCAAGGAGCTGCCTGGCTCCCTGCTGTTACAACATTTGCCCTCCGAAGCCAGCTGACTGCACTGGCTGGGAGTGCACGTGGCCACTGCCAGCTGTGCCCAGGGAGTCGCTGGAAGACTGCAAAGGGCCCAGGCCAAAGCTGCGTTAGCAATTTCTCAGAAATATCAATTATAATTGAAAATTATACCAATTTCACAGGCAGCTGGAGTGCAGCACCTGGGGACGCTCCCGGCACCGGCAGGTTTCTCAGTGCAGATGCTGAGAGCTCTGGGCTAAATACGGGGAACTGTCACAGGAGGCTTTGGTGGAGGAGCTGCTCCTGTGGGGAGCATTTTGGGTACCACAACCATAAAACAGTTCTTCCATGTCCTGCACCCTGCCTTGCCTTTCCCCACACCTGCCACCTTCTGCGAGAGCCAGGGGCAAGAGCACTAAACTTTTTCAGTAGCCCCATCCTGATGCGTTCCTGGAGAAGCCTTGGCCATTTCCCTGAATGGAAGCAGTACCACATGAAGAAAAATGGCATAAAGCCCGTACGATAAAGCACGTTGACAGGGTAATGGAGATCACCTAGGCATGCTGCACTGATGGCAGTAATGATACGGAAAGGTTGAGACTACTGGAACAATGAAACCCTATGAAGAGTATTTAATTTATTTCCCTGGAAATCCAGAATTAAACCCCCTAACTAACACACCCACTGCAGATGTATTACATTTAATGTGAACACTCAAATGTAATAAAATATTTGCTGGAATCCATCCTCTCGTGCCAGCAGTTCAACATTCCCTTCTGCATGATGCTTTCTGGTGAGTTCCCTGTAGTTTTCTGTCTCCCTCATCAATATTTTAACCTCCTCTTTAAAAAGTGCCCGGCTCCAGGACTAGCAGACACTTTGTGTATGTTCTCCTTATTGCAAGCTTGTAGTGTGTTAATTGTACACATTACATTAAAAATCTCCTCGGGATTCTTTAAGAGTTCATGCTCTGAAAGGGCTCAGTTGCTCCAGCCATGGCTCAGGGCTCTTTCTGGGAAGCAATTTGGATTCCCTGGAACTGAACGTTATTTCGTAATATACCCTAGATCCTGAAAGAGTGGGGGTGCTTCAGTGAAAACCTCCATCCATGTTTTCCTGATTTGACTTCTCAGCCATATTTTCTCTCCTTGCAGTAGCACACTGCTGTTTTTATAGAAAAAAAAAATAAAAGACAATTCAAATTTGACTCAAAACCATAAATTTCAGGAGTTTTCTAGAACAGCATCGTGGTTGGACAGATGCCAAGCTGTGCTGTGGGGAGGTAGGAACTTCTGTGTACAAACGGAGCTTCTGAAATGCCACAGAAAAGCTCCCTTGACCCAGGCCCCTCGTGGACTAAATGCCTGAGGTGTCCATGAGCTGTGTAATTTTACTGTTTCAGTAATCAGTGGGTTTCTCATTAGCACCAGACTGAACCGATAGCAGCAGCCTTTGGTGGTGTTGGTATCAGGAGCCTCACCTGATGGGAGTCCCACTGTTGCGGGCACCACCCAAACGTGCTAGAGCCATCCATGGCATCATCAAGGTTGGAAAAGCCCTCCAAGATCATCTGGTCCAACCACCCCCTGCCACCAGTATCACCCCATAAACCACGTCCCTAAGGACCTTTCCCTGCCCTGGCCAAGCACGTGCCCAAAGGGTGCTCTGCAGCAGCACGGCAGAGCTCTCACATGGGACCTGAGCAATTGCTTTCACCACATTTTGTTTGTTTTGCTTCACTGGTTGCGGCATTTTGCCTCCTGAAGATAACTGTGCATTTAACGTGCTTCATTGAAAGGCACAGAAGTTGCATTAGGGAACTCTGCTTGCAGAGCAGAACAGCAGCAGACAAAAATAATGAATCCTTCAATACTTCCCTTGTCCCCATTTACCTCCTCGCAGAGGAATGCTGTTTGTGGTGGCTCCAAAGCATGCATCATTCCTGTGCCTGCAAGCTGCCGGCGGCTGCTAGATGGCAAGGCAGTCTTTAGCCCATGATGTTACTACCCCAAAGCACCACAAATAAGCAGTCCCAAGAGCTGCACACCAGAGCTGCTCATTAACTGGTAGTCCATGAGGTTGCACAGGACGTCTGCGTGGTGGAAGTCCTCCTCTCTTGATCTTTCTCCAGCTCACCCTGCTGAATTCTTAAAACTACTTAGGAGATTTTAAGTGTTGTAGTCCACAAAACCACTCCTGGTATTACTCGGCTTCCAGTCAGTTGCCCTACAATGTATTCAAGAGATGGAAAATCAGTCAGCAGACAGCGGGTGTTACGAGCCCCTGATCTTTCCCTGGTACCTGCATGGACCACGTAGAGCCTAAGGGGAGTAATTCATTGCAAGATGCAGTGAACACCAGCATCTAACATGCTGTTTTTCCACATAACCTTAGCTGAAGCAGACCAGAAGCATCTGGTAGTTGTATCTGAACAGAAGATCACAAGGTAGGGAGCTAAAAGAATCCCCCTCAGCTCGTAGGATTGGTAGCTCCAAATCAACAGTGAAGCAGATCTCCTGAACACATTTTGCAGGACACATTTTAGCACTCACCTCAGCGTTATCCCATAACACAACAGGAAACAATCCAGGAGTGAAATGGTGAGCCACGTCTGGCCCACACCATCATGCTACCGAAACTCAGCATGAACAATAAGTCTTCAGCGCAATGGACACTTCATGGGATGATCTTAACCTGAAGCAGGGAGGCACGTAGGTTTTCAAGGCGAAGGTCCCCACTCAACCTGAAGGTGTATCTGCTTGGTGGCTGTCAACCTGACTTTGGCCTTTAAAACCAAGCTGAGGGACGCAGCGGTGGTTAAGTGTGCAAATCCCATCCTCCAGAACAAAGCAGAGACGTCTGGCAACACTCAGGATGCTCTAGGAACTAATCAGGTGGCAGCAGTACAATCGAATCTGCCCCGTGGCTGACATGCAGCTTCGAAAAGGGGAGAAAGCTTGGGATCTGCGGTCTGACTGACTTCCAAAGTAAACTACATCAGCAGCTCATATTACATGAAATGTCCCCACAGTCTGAGGTTTTGTGCAGTCCCCAGATACTGAAATTACTCAGTATTTTCAGTACTGATTACACATTTGGGAATATACACAGGGAATAAGACCATTATTGTGTAAGAAACAAAACCCCAACCTTTATTTTTGACAATACATTTCAAGTGCATGCAGAACATATTTACAGTTCTCCTTAAGGCAAACAGAAATTGGGCTCTTATTCCTGAGTTGCTTAGCACCAGTAGAAACAGCAAATAAAACGCTAGGAAATGTTGTCTCTCCCCTTGAAGCAGCAGCTGCCTCCCATGCAAAATGGTTCTGCCTTCAGCTCACATTTCTCGTGATGAGCTATTTTACTAATAATCTCTACTGCTATTTTGAGCAGTCTCTTCAGATTCTGGTCTCCTCACAGCACCATCACGCCAAGATGTACCAAACTTCCCGTGTTTGTTAGTTGTCCTTACAAACTGTTTACTGACTAGACAGCACAGCAGTACGTCTGTCTTTTCTGGCACATCCACCAAGGTCTTCTCCGCAGTTATTTCAGGAGTTCTGTATTCCCCAGACAGAGACAGAAACCTCACATTATCTTCTCATCTCTTTCTCATGTGGGCTAGCTGCTTCTGCAGTAGTAGACTAAAAGAAGTCCAGATTAAAAGAGGCAAAGTTCCCCATAGCCACTGGAGGTTTTTAGGGCTTGATTTCACCAGAGCTAGGGTGTGTGTATGGTGTAAAATGCCCACTGAAGAATTTATGAAGAAAAAGCAAACTAGGTTTGCAATGGAGAAAAAAAGCTCTTAAAGTCTGATTAACATTTGAGCCATGTGCATTACCTCAAGACTTTAGACTTTTGCTACAAGTTAGGATGCTGCAATTCCATGTAAATTATGAAGGGGGCATTTTCAAAGAAGTTTTGACATTCTTTCCAGCCCTTGACTGGCTCTATCAAAACCCACTCATTTCAACAGCCACTTTTCTTCCATGACTTTTAAGAGGACCATGATGATGCACGATCTTAAAAAACGCTTAGTAAGTGAAAAAGCTCCTATTTAACACGAAAGTGTAGCCCAAGCAGAAAGTCAATAGTGCAAAATGGGGGTGACCCAACTGTGCCTTCCTCAGTGACCTCCAGGTTGGAAAAATGTTTTGTTCCAAATTGCATTCACTGCTTTTTATCATGCATTCCTGAACCTACAGTTTTTAATAACTTGTCAAGTACATCAATAATTCAAGGTTTCTGTTACCACTTAGTCTCTCTAGGTGCCTGTCTCCATTAATCAATGCTTATTGTGAATAATTTTTAAACAAACATCACTATTTACAGGTGTTTAAGTTAAACATTCATGGAAAGAAACAGAGCAACGATGCCTTGATTAAATGTCTGGTTTAAATTAGTTATTAAAAAAAGCAACAAACAAACCACCCACCCAAACCACAAGTAATTTGTTAGTTCTTTTTCAGTTATTACCCACATTATAAATTGTCTTCCTTCACAACCGTTTCATTTAGCAGCAACACACCACAAACAGCAGATGGCATTGGGAATAATCCATGTCCAAGCAGTCGATTTGAAAGAGATTACCTTTAACAAAGAGAAGTGACCTCACAAAGAAATTCTGCACCAAAGGTTTGCTAATTTATTTTTCCCACGTCTGAGAGATTATTATGAACTAAGCACCTAGGAAAATACAATAAATGAAGCCAGACAGTAACAGGAGCTCATGAAGCATCTGGCATCCCCCTGTAGGTCATCAGGAATCTGATTCCTTCTTGTAAGGTACCTCCCAGCAGAAGGTTTGAGGGCTCCCCCCCAGGTAAGATGACTTCAGAAGGCTGAAAAAAAGAACGGTTGTTGTTCTGCACCTGGCAACACCTCCACACACCAAGAACAAGACAGCTTGCTGCATGAATAGCTGCAGTGTCATATTTTTATCCTCGTTTTATTTTCTACAATGCCACCTGCGTGCTGCTGTATTTCCAGGATCAGCACTGCTGATTAGCTAACCAGCATGTCCTCTGAGAAGATGCACTTTTTCAATGATTGTTTCTACACTAAGATGCTAGAGAGCTTACAACATTTCAGAATGTCTTAAAAGAGTTTCTCCCTGGAAATCCTTGATCCCCAGTCTGTTATACAAAGAGACTGCACCGTATTGAGATAAAAACACTGTAACTCTTGAAAATGATTGCTTACCAAGTGGCTGCTCACCTAGTGAACTTGGGAAATCTTGTCCTACCACACCAGTTACTTTAAAAAAAATAGGACACTGACACTTGTCTGCTTCTTGCCTCTTGCATAAATCTGTCAGGCCTGGTTGTCAGACAAGACAAAGGAAATAGGCCTCCACTCAGGCTGTGTCTCCACTACTCGCCACACTAGCTGAGGAAACAGAAGCTGATTAGCCTCCACAGGCAGCTCATCAAGGTGAAATATTCCAGAGGAAGTCACACTGATACCTTTTACATTTGGGATGGTTCAACAGCCCTGGAGAGCAGACGCTGCACATCACCGAGATCCTCTGTGTCTCCGCTTGCTGACAGTGCTGACTTGTACTCACGTCTGATTTGAAGAATTGGCCCTACCTGCTCTTTCAAGGATGGCAGAGGATTATCACAGTCTGAATCCTTTCATGCAGAAGGGAGAAGCTGTGGGCAGAAATAATCTTCTGGACAGTTCAGAGATGCTAATCCCAGAGGCACCACTTCCACATGCAGAGGAAAAGACACTGCTCTTTCTTACAGTGGAGATGAAACAGGTTACATCCAGTTTATTTATAAAAGTTTTATACACCTGAAATATCACAAACATTTACAACTTTCCTGCTGTCTTCTGAGTTCTGAAAAGACCAGGTCATACAATTACACTGCTGTCTCCTTTGACTCTGATGTTAGTGGTGGTTTGAAGTTCAGTATCTCTTTATAGGTAATACCTGGAAAACAACAGAAGAAACATAGTGTTGCTGTCTGGTCAGAAAAGGAGCTGCACAGACATGAGGCAAGATGCAACTCCCAGCATGGTCAGGTCCTGATCAAGGTGAAGAAGACTGAGACCTCTTCAGGAAAAAAAGAGAAAGAGTACAAAAAGTAAGGGAATCAGGGATCATTTTACCACCATTTTGCCACTTCAGTTTTGAAGAAGTAGCCCAATACTGAAATCTTGTGGATGCTTTCCAAGGGCTGTGAGCACTGACGTTATATCACCATGGACAATATGGCCAGAAAGTAAACTACCGTGCCTAGGAGCACAGCAGAATTATTAATCAAGTCCACATCTCAGAGCAAAAATACAGATCTCTGAAGGAAGACAAAAACTAGGCTCAGACTTAAATCTCTGCTGAGACAGGCTCTCTCAGGGATTAAAAACATCTAACTGAAAATTAAGGCCAGCAACAGCTGCAGTCCTATAGAGCAAACAGTTGAGGAATCTGTTGCTCTGTCCTATGCACTGTAAGGAACACGTTACAGAAATGGTTTCTTTCCTGCATTGCAGAAGATAGGAAGGAGGACACATGGAGAAAGAGAGGAGAGGATCCATTGTTAGGAGGAAGAGAAGAAAACCTTTGGCGATGGTTTCTGGAGGACTTGATAAAAGGAAACATTGGCTGACCAGCAGTGTTTCTCTATCTTACTTATGCCTGCTTGTTCTGTTTCCTTAAAAGCAGACAAAGCCAGCTGGAAAGGAGAACAATCCCATTTTTGGATGGCCTTTCTATCCATCCATTTTTGAAAACATCACAAAACTAAACTCACGCTTCCACTCATCCAGCGGTAGATCCATGTTATCGAATGTGTCATCGTACTTCTCAGCTTCAATTTCTTCCTCAGGATCGTGAACTGGTTCAAAGTAAGGATGCATCAAAGCCTCAGCTGCAGTGACTCGCTTCTCTGCATCCAGCACCAGCATCTTCTCCAAAAGGCTTACAGCTAGCGAACGGCAAATAACATTGCATTCAAATCATGCCACTAATTCCAGCTTGTACAAAGTAATGTTGTCCTGGGGATGTTTTAAGCATATAGACAGATTTACAAAGCAGAACCATTGGGTGTTCATTCTGTAAGAGTCTTGTAAGGGTATTTCTGAGTTGGGTGGTGCACCTGAAAGGAGGAAAGGACAGCAGCATGGGCCAGGATGCTGCAATGACCACTTGCCACGCTATGGATTCATAGAATCACAGAAGCATTTTGGTTGGAAAAGACCTTTAAGATCACCAAGTCCAACAATCCACCCAAGAGTACAAGTCCAGCCCCTCCAACCTTCTCTCCCAGACCACGAGCAATTGTTCTTTACATAAGGAGCAGCCAAATGGCCAAAGAGGTGCTAGGAAGAAATTTCTTTACATGGAAAAGGGTAGAGTTTGCTGCAGCTAAGAAGGTCAGCAGATTAGCCATGGTAAGAGCTGCTTTATAATCCTACAGTGTCTGAATATATAATTTTGACTTCTTAAATACAGAAAACTCAATTATCCTAATTTATATGTTAATAAAGCCTGTTTTCATGAGTGTTTGGGTCATTGGGGAATGGATAAAGCTTGGGCAGAGCCACTTCAGAGCTCTTGCTGCCTCAGGTCACGCACGCTTGGTACATTCTTCTAGCTGTTTATATCCACCAAATACAAGCCAGTTCTTCACAGGAATGCACAGATGTTTCTCGGGACGTATTCATTCCATGACTAAAATGTCAGCTTTCCATTTGCCTGCATTTCTATTGTAGATGAAAATGAACTTTCAGAATTATATTTTAAATATAATACACAGAAAAATTTATTACATATATTTAAATCCCCACGGCTCTTGGGAAAGCTGCTCCAGTAAAACCATTAAGCATAGCCTGGATTGAAGCCTAAAGCACAAACTACTTATTTTTTGACTCTTTTGAATCATCTGATTCCTGGCAGGTTCTAAACTTGGCAAAGTTCAGCCACTAGAATTGAAATTATGAATTATGGAAAGCAAGAGGTAGAATAGCACGAGAACCACCACGTAACCTATTGCATGACTGACACTGCTGCTGCCTCCAATGCAAACACAAGAACAACACAAACTGTGCACATCCATACAAAGTGTCTTACCCAAAGGATTCGCATACTTCAAGACGGATGCAAAATCTTTTTTCTGGACTTTTGGGAGGCTTTTGATATAGTTTTTTGCCTTAAAAGAAACATGAATAATTAATTAGAACTTTGCCTCCTTTGCAATGTGCTTAGTAGGTAACTTAATAACGCTTTGGTAGCACATTTACAAATGGAATATTTTTTGTCATAAACCGTGATTATATTCACCTTCTTGTTGAAAGAAACATTTTTAAATCACACCTTAAAATTGTGATTAAGAAATTATGTGTAAAGTTTCCATTACCACTGCTCAATATCTAATATATTAATTAGAATAAATATGTATGCATCATTTGAAAGAGCATCATATTCTCTAGAAGTGTATCATTTACAGTAATTCATTAGTATTTAAATTGTACAGTTAGTCTAATGATTAATTTTAGGATCTTTGTAGTAGGAGCTTAAGGATTCTAGAAAGACATCCACACAGGAATAGGAAAGCAGAAGTCAGAGACACCTACAGAACGACTGGGTCCTCTGAATAGTTCATATTTTCAGTGCATTTCCAGTAAAGGAGGTAATGCATCAGTTCAACTGTTTATATGCTCCACACTGCATACTTTGAAGTATTTAAATATACAGATTTTTCAGTGTTTTGATCATTTTCTATTTCCCCTTAATGTCCAGTAGTTATTTAGGGTGTGGAAAGCATTGTAAGGCAGATACCATAGGTAATTTCAGTAGTCAACATGTATTATCTCAGCCAGTTTAAGAACTGAGAATGGTTTAGGTAAAATGAAGACATGAAAAACAAACTGCTGAAGCAGAATACTCACATCTTGACTTTGCAGTTTTTGCACAAAATCTTGAGTTGGTGTACCCATTATTTTCATTATTTCTGTGAGTTGGTCCAGATCTGAATCCCAGAAATAAGGAACAAAGTCTTTCACCATGGGAAAACTTGCAAAAATTGTGTTTCTTTGCTATTGGAGGATAAAACAAAAATAACAATACAACAACTAAACAGAAGATTTACAAAAGATGAGGTTAAAGCTCACCAGTTTTCTTCCAAAAGGCAAAGACATTGAAAGCATCCAGAATAAACTATAAAACTTGGGAACACACAACTGAATCATCTGCAAACTCTTCTAACATCATTAGGCCTCCTCTATATTTTTGGTCAAGAGCAGTTGAAAAGTATTGGAGTATCTGAAGCAAGTTCAAGAGGGAAAAAAATAATTCCCTTCCTCATCATTTCCTACTTGCTTAGCTTGATTCCACATGCTGATATTTTGATGATCAGTAATTGGGATAAGGCATCAGTATGCTCGCTGTCTTCTGTGTCCTAAACCAGCACAGAACAAATCAGCAACAACACCAGCTGTTTTAAAGAAGAAACATCATATTTAGAGGCTAATGGAGTAGAGACCAGCTTTGTACCTCATCTGCTAGTCCAATGAGAGTAGCAGGTGAGATGCTAGAAGCTAGGTCAGAGCTCAAAGTATGTGCAGATTCCACCAACCCCTGAAGAAAAAAGCAAATGGCAGGTCATGCTGATGAAATAAATAAATCAATAAATAAAAATCCCACACCACCATACCAAATTAGGAGGATAACCTATTCAGAATACTAAACCAAAAATCAATTTTTTTTTTAATATTCATCTACCCACAGCTGAACTGAAAGCTGTATTTCCCTGACAACAGCTCATACTGATCCATATGCCTGAAGGTCACCATTATAACTATGCTAGGGTAATTTTATTCATAACACAGGACACATAATTTCATCCAACAGTTCTGAAATACCCACAATCCAATGTAACTAAAATATGAGTTTTTCCACTCTTACATTTACAGGACAACTTGAAAATTATGACTCATTTCCTTATTTACGTACCAGAATGCCGAAGGTTAGCATTAGTTGAGAAATGCTCCGTGTAAGCCAGCTGCTGTTCTATGGCATGCATTTTACTATTTTCTTGTTAAGACCTAATGCATACTTAAAGCTTTTACAGCTGAAATAATTCCATCCATTCTACTCTTCCATAGTTCCTTTTTTTTTTTTTATGAATGCAGTCTTCCTTTTTATGTTTTACCTCACAAAACAAGAATAATACAATCCATGTAACAAAGCCCTAACCATACACACAATACTGAAGTATATGCATAAACCAAATTAAACGACTGTAATTCTGTGATTCTATAATCAAGTATTTGCAGATAAGCAGTTTATTGACTGGAACACCACAAGGTTCCAAGCAGTGAAAAATGATTAGGCTGAACTGTCAAAGAAACAAAACTGTTAAACAAAACAATTAAAAATTCTTGCTGTATTCTATTAATATTGTCTTCCATGGTCTGTCACAGCCACTATTGCCAACGAAGTGTCACCTAAGGTTGAAGTAGGGCTGAATCTCAATTATTTTCTTAATTCCACAGCAATGAAATGATACAACCAAATTTTCTGTAAATCTAAAATATTTTACTAGGTATTACTTACATAACATGTTTTGATAAAAGTCTCAAAAAGCATGAAATGGACTAGCATGTGCACATAAGTCCATATACACCAGAACTTTATCTGTGTGTTCTGCAGGTGTGGAAACTATTACTAAAAAAACATAAATAAATCAATATTTACCTTTTCTATTATCACTGAACCTTTTACCTGATGATCTCTTTCTCTCTATTGAAAATGTTCAGTAATGAGTTTTAATTTGCTGATGTGCAAAATTCATGCAAATACCAAATAACTAATTAAATAGCAAGATGCTATCCAATATAATATTATTTTCAATTTATGCTCATCGGTTTTTCAACAGACCTACTGTATCACATGAATGCCTCTCATCATTTTCTTACATTGGTGTCATAAATTCACTGAGGAAGGATACGATCGTTTCCCTTGAACAGAGGCCTCCCTGTTATCATTTCAGCCATTATACAGCCCACAGACCAGATGTCAACTGCAAAAAAAAATCAACAGTGGCATTAAGTTACTGAATATTTGTCCATCTAAATGTAGATAAAGTTTAATTTAAAATATATTTTCAAGAAGTGTAATGTTTATCTTTACAGCCTGGTACAATATAAATGAGTGCCTTGCAGAGTATGATAAACAGTACAGGGAAAACTACCAGGCTTTCTGATTAGCAAACAGAAGATAATCTGGTATTAGGCAGAATCAGTTTCTCACTAACAAGCACATGCATGTGGTAAGTATTTTTTGCATGCTTTCAAAAACTTCTATCCCAGCATTAAATTGCCCCCTTTTGCCATTTCCCCGGCTGTTCGAGTTGTAATCAGCACATCTTTGCAGAAAGATTAGTCAGTACAGAGCACAAGTTTGTGCAGCAGGCTTGTTTCCAACCATGTTGGAACTTTCTGTGAGTCTTAGAAAATATACAAAAACAGACAAACAAACAAAAACAAACCAAAATCCTACAAACCAAACCAAAACCATAACCCCAAATGATTGTCTGCAATTTATCTACAAGGAAGATTTTCGTAATTAAATTGTAATGTCCACCTCCAATTTCTCACTCACTTCAGAACCACGGCCTTGCCTGATTCACTGAATGCGTCAGCTCTATTAAGACTTTTCCAAAGAGATACTGACCTGTTTGCGTGTAATGCATCCAGTTAAGTATGACCTCCGGGGCTCTGTACCACCTTGTGACCACGTAACCTGTCATCTCACTGTCTGTATGCCTGGCCAATCCAAAATCCAGAATCTGTAGTGAAGCACAAAGAACATCCAAGATGAGCCAGTTATCTATTTCATACAAATTTTAAAAATGCAGAAAATAAAGGACTTGGAGCTTCCTGCAGAGATTGGGTTATTTTTGCATCTTTTTCTCCTTGAAGTGTCTTGTTCTCATTTTAAGAATCAAGACAGAAGGAGCAAGGAGCTTTACATTTTTTCCGTTAGATACTTCCATAGCAATACTTAAAGCTGTAAAACCAGTAAAGAAAAAAATAATTTCTTCAATTCATGAATCAGAAGATACTGGTCACATTCACTCCTAGCTGTGGAATGGCTATTGTGTCTTCTTGGAGCTAAAAGAAAAGTACCCATCAACTATTCTGATATCCCAAGTGGCACAATTATTGAGAAGTGTGTTCCAATAATAATCTGAAGTAAGGAGGCATCGTTATCTTTATCTTACGAGTAACTCCTACAAGGGAAAGCTTTCTCTAGGTTATGTTGAAAGTCTGGATAAAGTGCAGGGAGTGACCATTATTTAGTCCCACTGAGTTCCAATCTACTGCTTCAACTACAGAACAACCCTCTGTAAGAAATGCAAGGCTAGTACAATTTTTTAAAGGATTACGTACAATTTAGCTTGTTTCTGAGACTCTCTGATACTTACCTCTAGATATAGCAATGTAAGCGGCAGCAAGATTACAAATAAATGTCACAGATTTTTGTCAACCTCTATAAAAGCGGCTAACACAAAGGCCCACCTGTGTGGACCACCAAAAGATGGTGCCAAAAGACATGGCCAGCACTGAGCAGCACTCCTGGAATGAGTCAGTTCACATCTTATCAGCAAGTTTATGCTACTACCAAGAAGCAGGGTGTCTTGAGTGAGAAAAGTCTACTCAAAATGAATCATCCTATGTAGATACTTAGATAAGCAGTTCTGCATGAAGGGCCATTTGTTTCCATGTGTAGCAGGCTCCATATATATATTGACACATCAGAAGTTTTTACTAGGAGCACCTGTGCGTTACTCTGGCAGAGTGATGTGTTTGTAATGCTCTCACTGTAATTAAACATCTTAAAATATTTCACTTTTCAGCATGGCAGTTTCATCGTTCCCTGGTGCTAACAGAAAGGAAAATTGTATTTTCATTCACAGATCAGGAGTATAAAAGGTCATGGCTTATCTTTATTGCCACACTCGAAGCATCATTTCCATAACTTCCCCATAACCACTGACAACATACCTAGCAATTTAAACAAAAAAAAAAAGGAACAAGATGCGAAGGGAGAGATTTTTATTCTTGCCAATAAAATATAGTTGATTACAGCCAAAATTCCCCCTCAAAACTTTGGCTACTGAAGACTTACTGTTCTCAAAATATTTGCAATTGCAACGTACACACCTTCATGTACAGCCTACACATACAACACACACTGTATCTTCCCAGTAGCACTGGGAGGGAAGGAAAGGGGTGGAAGCAAACAAAACCTCATGTAGCAGGTCAAGAGGCTAGTCTGGCACAGCTTTTTAGGCCTTTTTCAAACTAAGACTTGGAACATTTGGAGTTTGAGACAGCTAAGACAGAATTTGGGTCTGTATTTTTATACAGGCAGAAAATGGAAGCAAGGATTTTTGTGCCTTATGCCTTAATTTTTGGATTTCTTTTCATTAAAATATTCATTAGGCTCATTAATAAATGTATCTTGCTAGAACTTATTATCAGCATGCTACCATTTAACAACAATTTTCACAAAAAAAGTGTTATTCTCATGCTCTGTATGATCTCCAGGTTTTCAGCTAGAACTTCTAACAAGATTTTCAAAGCAAGTTGAAACCCCTTTTATAATGCAGGAGTTACGAAAGACAGAGCAAATACCCCATGGCTCCTCAAGAGTAAGTTCCCCTTCTACTCAGCAACCTTCATTTTCCAAACTTGCCTTCAGTAACCATACCAAAAATAATTTGTAACTTAAAGACTACAAAAAGGGCAGTGATTTCCCCTAAGGCACCCTCCACTGTCACTGTTCTGAGTCCTGTGTGGCAGGTGAGAGAATCTGACAAGGGGAACTCTGAAAAATAAAGCTGATTATTTATTAACTAATTATGGATTCAAGGAACTGTCCCAACTTGCCTGCAGCCACACAGCTGCTGGAGCTGATGCAGGGAAAGCTGCAGGGCTCACAGACACAGGGGAAAAAGGGTCAGATAACCCTGGCAGGACGGTTTTGTGCTAGTGTAAACTGGCTTTCAGGTGTGCTCACAGGACGAGGTCACTCCTATGGCTTACACCTGGAATGCTCACACCCAAAGACAGATCAACTGTTTCAGTGTAAGAGAGATCACAGTGAAATCCCTGCCCTGGTATTTTTATGCACACTTCTCAACGTTTTATAGTTTGCTTTCTGTTTATAGGTTGGAGTTGCCTTTTGACGACCAGTATTTCCTAGCTACAAATGAGCACATTTCCTCTGTCTACGACACCAGAAATTACCATGGAACCAGGGACTGCGTAATTTTGCCCTGAGAGTCAGGAAACAAAAACTAAAGCTTAATGCTACATCTTCTCCTTGCCATTTTACTAAATCACGTCCTGGTATAGAACTATTTGCCTCAGTTTATCTAAAAGCTTACAAATGTCCAAAGTAACAGAAAAATAAGTTGTATTAAGTGAGGAAATACAGTGATCGTGAAAGAATGTCTTGGACCTGGATTGCATCTCAGAATCTGATTGTACAGATGGGGAGCAGTGAGGGAACAACTGGTTTTTCTAGATTTTTTTTACTACACTGGGACTCACTCGCAGTTTGCCCATGCACAAGCCAGAAAGACAATGTCTTTTTGTCTGAAATATGGAAATTCTGAAAAGACAGGACCCTGAACATTCAGGTCTGTTCTCCTCAGTCTCTAAAGAGCAAGCAATTACATTACAACAGCTGCTTGCAAGTATATAATTTGTATGTTAGATGCTAAAAATAAAAAACGTTTATGCACTCGTGCATCAACTTCTATTTTATTTAATAAAGGGAGTGCTTCACAAGTTCTGATCTTCCTCTGTATTTCCCATTTGCAGAGTTAGGACTTTTTGTATTTATTCAGAGCTGGAATTCTCACATAACAGAGCTACTCCCAGAAAGTTTTGATATTTTTAGGGCGAAAGCCTTGGCCATAAGACCTAAGTGTACTTACATATCAGGACACAAAAGCCCCCATTTGAATTTCCTGTTGTTTTATGAGGATGTAGATGCCAGTCATGATTCAAGCACAGGACAGAAGACATAGCTTGATTTCGTAATTAACTGAAAAGCCCTGTTTAGACTTTCCGATTAGCCCTTAGCTAGAGCTGAGAGAAGATAGGTGGCAAAAAAAATCCAGAAAATTAATAATGATCTTTTTAAATACAAGAACTGAATTAACAGGACTGAAAGCAGTCTGAGGCCCCTATCTCCACACTTGAGAGAATAAACTATAATCGTAAAATGAGCAGTGTTGAGCACTACATAGATCATTATCATACTTGATAATGAACATTTTGCTTTTTTTCCAACAAACTCATTCTACACAGCTAAATAGATGCAATTTTGCTAGGTCAGGGCACGCTGCATAATTAATTCTGAAGTACAAATAACCTTTCTAATAGACTTTGGAAGATTTCCAACACAGATGAGAACCTGAGTAATAAAATCAGAACAGTTCAGGTTCAGTATTTTAGTTCAATGATTTAGAAGGAAGCTTGAGGTGACAAACGTCCAGAAGAATTATTAGTCAGATGGAATTTTCTGAGAACATTTCCAAGGAAGATTTAGCAGGAGTGGCAGGACAGGCACCTTCCATAATGGGTGCTACAGTCCCAGTCTCCAGGAGAGCATGCCAGCTTTCCATACTGGGAATGAATGGGTGGGGGCATGCACCATCCTTCCACCAGCTCTGGATGGAAACCCAGGCAGGTGGAAGCCAAAGGGAGGCATGGTCTATGCCAACACTTGCCCCACTCCAGATAAGCAGCAACCAGGTAATAGAAGAAATGCCATAAAGTGCACCTGTCTTGCAGTGTACCAGCAAAAAAGTTAATAGCTGAACTACAGGAAGATGAATGAGTAACTGTCTCCCTTCAATGATTTTTTTTTTCTTATTACTTCAATTAAGAGCAAAAATCAAAACTGGTGTATTCCTTCTATGAAATACACCGTAGTCTACATGCAATTGATTCTGTCAGTTTTAACAGTGCAGAAGGAATCACATTCTAAGAAATGCAATGTTCTTGTTCAAAGCGAGCACTATTTGACTCCTCCTATGCCTCTCTGAAGTGATTAGCTGCAACGTGTCATAAAAATAGTTCTCCATCACAGCTCTTATAAGGCTGTAACCATGACATGATTCTTTCTCGACAAGGCTGACTACTACAGCTACACCCACGCACTTGCATGGGCCCACAGCTACTGTGTGGACTGCCACATAAACGCCAAACCAGAAGAAGTTCAGTTTCAGTTCTCACACTGCTTGTCACCCGGCTGGAAGGACTGAAGCCACCAATCCCTCGAACCACACCACGAATAAAGCCTGTGGCACTGACTTCCTTACCAGCAATCTTCTGTACATCCTGGCATCATTTCTTAGCTCTTCCCTGTTAACTCTGTGTACTAATTTCTCAGGGCATCCTACCTGGACTCCAAGTTTTCAGCTCTGACATCCTGCACAACATTTCTGATTTGTGGTACAGCCACTCCTTGTGCTTGGCTCTGTAAGGATCTCAGAAACTGATCACCAGCTCTGCCAGTTGTATGAAACATACACTGACTTCAGGCAAGGACATACAAATGGAGGCTAATAGTTTCTTAGTGTTCAGGGCTTTATTTCTCAAATAATTATTCTTGTGGCAACTGACGTCAGACAAATGGGAAAATATTTACAAAGATCAGTCTCCAGTCACTTTTGTTTACCGCTGTCCATCTGATCTCTGTCTCTTCCCTTCTCCATGACTCCTCTGAGCTTGTGGACAGAAATCCTTACCTGCCACTGAAACTGGCTAGCACTTCTACAGCTGTTGCCCTCAGTGTATTCTGGGGTGTTTTTCTGATACATTTGGCTACTTTTTTCAAATAAACATATCCTACCTTCAATTCACAGTCTTCATTTACTGCCAGGTTTCCGGGCTTTAGATCCTGTAATCATATTTAAAACAGATGTTATTTATTTCTTTTACAGCAAATAGAATAAAGCACACTTTAAAAGTATTTATATCATTTAGGCTAAGTGGCTTTCCTACAATTATTTAGAACAGCAACATGAAAAACAATCTCTTAAATCTAAATTAGAAAACTAAATGTAATAAATAACAGAAGCAAACACACAAACCTGAATATGAATAAGATTTTTTCCCTTGTGTTCTCCCCCCAGACAAATCAGCTTTTTTTTCTTTTTTTTTTTTTTGTTTAGTAGTTAGAAACCGGGAAAACACTTGTCAGTGAAAAAACTCATTCATCTTAACGTGCATCAGGTTCGGACATAAATTTGCTGCATTTAATAATGACACCAGAAAGTTAAGGATTCATGTATACAGAGATGAAGTAAAATAAATTTCCTCCACTATCTCTGGATTATACACATTGAATATGAAAGTATACTTTAAAAGACTCCACACATACCCTGCTATACCTAGGACAAGTACTGATGGAATCAAACAGGATTCTACGTAAGAGCCTGTAGTGTCTTCTGTGAGAAAATGGATTTCCTAGCAAAAAATGTGCATTGAATGGTGACTACAACATTGAAAAAAAAAATGCCTTATGCCTCTTTAACTACTGGAGAGGCTTCTAATGATGTACAAAAAGTGTATTTCTAAGTTTAGCAACAAAAGGGCAATGTCTCAATGACTAAGAAGTTATTACAATATCAGTGACATATATGCACAGTTATAAACAGAAAAAATCAGAAATAATTTCTCCCTCATCTTTTGCAAACATTTAGTCCCACGTTAGGACAAGACCAGAGAATCATAGAGTGGCTTGGGTTGGAAGGGACCATAAAGATCACCTAGTTCCACCCCCCCGAACAAGATCTAATCTAAACAAGACTTTCAGAGGAATCTTCTCTCTGAACTTTTTAAGTCATCCAGCTGTTTTGTACAAATCCTTTAAGGTCAGAGGGGCTTTGGAGAGAAACAAAGGCACAAAGAGCTGCAATGGAACTGAGAACTTCAAGTATCATCCAGAGAGAGCTTGGAAAATTTTTAAGCAACTGTAAAGTTAGTTCATGATCACAGCCGCTACAGAAATGAAAATATCAATTTATTGCTTTATTCTGGCAATTTGCACTGCTTCCATGTCCAGCCTAAGGTGCCCAACTTGTGCTGATGTAGCCACACCACCTTTTGTTTCTATTGAACAAGAAACCTAAGTCACAATCAAACTTAAACACTATAAATTTAAGTTCAGGCAGACTTAAGACTGTGCCTATACACAAACTGCAGTCACATTGTCAGAACATAAACATATTTCATATTGTTTCCACTTACCCTGTGAATTATGCCTGAGGAGTGAATATACTGTAAAAAAAAAAATAATAATTTTTTAGTTAATTAGGTTCTGACCTTAAGAAGTTGCCTGGGGAGTGGGGAGAGTACTTTTTCATAATACTAAAGTAATCTGAAATTATAAAAAATTTACTTCCTTTCACAGATTTTTTAGCTGCAGTATTCATGTAATTAAAACAGCATTTTAATTTTTGTAATGTAAGTTTTGGTATTGCAGAATCACAGAAGGGACGAAGGACGTCTGTAGATCATCAAGTCCAACCCCCTGCCAAGCAGGATCACCCTGAGCACCTCGCATAGGATGGCATCCAGGTGGGTTCTGAATGGCTCCAGAGAAGGAGACTCCACAGCCTCTCTGTGCAGCCTGTGCCAGTGCTGTCACCCTCACAGTAAGGAAGTGTCCCCTCATATTGAACCAGAACCTCCTGTGCTTCCATTTGTACCCATTGCCTCTCGTCCTGATGGTGGGCACAACTGAAAAGAGACTGGCTCCATCCTCTTGACTCCTTCCCCCCAGATATTAATACATATTAATGAGGTCTCCCCTCAGTCTTCTCTTTTCCGGGCTAAATAGGCCCATTTCTCTCAGCCTGTCCTGTTATAACAGGTGCTCCAGGCCTCTAATCATCTTTGTAGCCCTCCTCTGGACTTGCTCCAGGAGCTCCATGGCCCCCTTGTACTGGGGAGCCCAAAACTGGACACAATACTCCAGGGGAGGCCTCACCAGGGCTGAGTAGATCACGAGGGGGAGGATCACCTCCCTTGACCTGCTGGCAACAATCTTCTGAATGCACCCCAGGATCCCATTGGCCTTCTTGGCCACAGGGGCTCATTTCTGGCTCATGGTCAGCCTGCTGTCCACCAGGACTCCCAGGTCCCTCTCTGCAGAGCTGCTGTCCAGCAGTCAGCCCCCAGTCTGTACTGGTGCTTGGGGTTATTCCTCCCCTGGTGCAGGACCCAGAAGGCTATCACATGGGTTAAGCATGATTTCCCCTTTGTGAAGCCATGCTGACTACTCCTGATCACCTTCTTATCCTCCACATGCTTGGAGATGACTCCAGGATGAGCTGTTCCATCACCTTTCCAGGGATGGAGGGGAGGCTGACTGGCCTGTAGCTGCTGGGGTCCTCCTACTTGCCCTTTTTGAAGACTGGCGTGACACTGCCTTTCTTCCAGTCCTCAGGCACCTCTCCTGTTCTCCACAACCTTTCAAAGATGATGGAGAGTGGCCTGACAATAACATAGGCCAACTCCTTCAGCACCCATGGGTGCATTCCATCGGGGCCCATGGATTTGTGGACATCAGGATTGCTTAAATGATCTCTGACCTGATCCTCTTTGACCAAGGGAAAGTCCTCCTTTCTCTGGACTTCCCCTCCTGTCTCCAGGGTCTGAGATTTCCAAGGGCTGATCTTAGCAGTGAAGACTGAAGCAAAAAAGGCATTCATTCGCTGTGTTTCACCTTGTGGTACCTTCACTAGGTACCAGTGAGAAGAGTCTAGCTCTGTCTCCTTTACCTCCCCCCACCAGATATGTAAGAACATTGGTAAGAGGTGCTCCAAGCCTTGTCTTCTCCAGGCAGCCCAAACTTTTTCCCAAACAGAGGAAAGAATCCCTTCCCTTTACCTACAAATGACAACGGTACCCATACAGCTAAGACTGCGACAAGGGCACAAAGCTAACTGCCCTGCCCAAGTCTTTTCTGAAAAGCTTTCTGTCCCCTGGCTGCCCGAAATCCTAGATTCAGCACTTTACATTTGCAGTATAGGGTAGATCAGTTTCTTCTGCCTGTTCCTTGCAGAACAGGCAAGCCTTAACATCACCCCTTGGAACTGCCAAAGTGCTTCACAGGATTTCCTGGGGCGACCACAAAGGGCTGAGAGCACGGAACTGTTCCCCAGAGCACAGGCTGTAAAACCACTGCAGCAAATGAAGAACTGCAAAACCCTATTTCTGTCATGGATGGGCATGAAGTGCATCAGGATGGGAGGAAGCAGATGCAAAAAGAGGAAGTTTGTCAGCTGTACAGAGAGAATACAATTATATATATATAAAGAAACCAATCTGTAAGTAGTTAGGCTCCCAACAAATGGATAAAACACTGGCATCTTCTGACAATAGCCATCTTTATCAAAGCTATCACAATAACTACTTACATCCTAAATCATCTCAATGTCTTTGTACGGAAGCCTCCTGATTTTCCAGAGCAGATGCTAATAATGTTCTACAGGCTATTTTTGCTGGTATGACTGTACACAGTAAGGCAATAACCAGCAGACCCAGAAAATTCTGCACATGAGAACGTACCGTGTAGAAACAGGAATTAGGACTGCACCATTTTGAGTTTTTGTTAAAGTTCTGGAGCAATAGCATGGTTTTGTTGGTGTTCTCACCCCACTGAAGGTTTTATGAGTGGTCACAGCACCAGAAGTCATGTTAACACTTTGGGGAGAACCCATATATTTTCCAAACACTTCTCTTTATACAAGACTACTGAGATTATGTGAAATAGGGCTTTTTGTAAGTGTTAGCTTTTTGAAAACTGGCATTAAGCTGCAATGTTTCTTTAGCAGTATTTTTAACTGCATTTTATTATCTGCTGGTAGGTAACAGCACTGGAACTATGTTAGTCTTAGCTCAGAAAATTTTCCATTTCTGTTTAACAGCCTTCTGAAACGGGATCCTATTCTTGCTGATTTTTCTTATTGTTATCCATTTGTTGCCAGATTATTCACTGCTCGTGCCGTAAAAGCACTTGGACCATAGCAGACACACCCTTCACAGTGTTATTACCATTCTACCTGAACAATATTTGATTCGAGAATCCAGTTTAGCATGTGCAAAGTGCCCTGGGACACAGGAGCTTTGTGCATAATCCTAAAGACAATTTTTGGTAGCATTCATAAATCCTCGATAGCTAGGAAGTGATCCAACAGTTGTCAAAATTCTAAGCATTCTTGTCTTCATATGTAATATCTACAGAAAATAAAAATCTAATCAAAAGGGAATTAGAAAAGACTCAGGAAGAAGTATTCTAGGCAGCATGCAAAATGAAACTGAGGAGTGACTTGGCAGGGAAAGAAAAACCGAAGAGGAAATGGGTGAGGGGGGAGAAAGGAAAATGTTGAAGCTGGAAGAACACAAAACTAAAGACAGCAAATAGGCATGACAAAAGGAGAGAACTAGAGGAGGTAACTATTATCATGAATATGGCAAAAGAAGCTTGAAAAGGTGTTTGTGCAGCCCAAGAGCTGTCCTTTCATTCTCAAACAGTGTGCAAATAAAGAAACACGACTGCCACCCACACCCTCAGACCTCTAAGAACACGAACCCAACTGGCATTCCAGCAGAAAAGGGACCCAAGATTGCAAGAGCTGAAAACTCCAGTCCCATTCCACCTACGCAAGGACATTTATTTTCAGCTTGCCTTCTGCATTCTTTAACAATACGAAGCTTTTCTGTCAAACAAAAAAAATGACAAAAGCCCTTCCAAGTTGCAAGCGTATCCAAGTGCTTCACAGAAAGGACAAATGCATATTGAAGTTAACAGCTCTATCACCACCACCCCCTGCCAAAAGAGAGTCCATCAAAGAAAAAATGTGCAGAAAAACAATACACATTATGAAACGAGAGGCTAAGCTTGGGTGGGATGTTGAAATAGTTTCACAACAAAGATCTATAGAATTGCATATTCCTCCTTCCCAGGTGTTGCAAGTATTTTCCTCTACAATGCCTCAGCCGAGCAGCGAGTACATGCTTTGTTTCCACCCGCCTCCAAAGCAAGCGACCAAAGTAAACACAGATGGGCTGTCTTTGATTCAGAAACATTAGACCTGAAAAAGATTTACATGCAAAATATTGTCAGACCCTTTCTTAGACAGCCAACTAACTGATATTGTTAAAAGAAGCATTAGAAGTCAAGTTACTGACCCATTTTCTTTTTCTAATGTATACTAGCAGTACTGAGCAGTACTGTTTTCCGCTTAACCCACTTCCTAGCACAGGCCATGCTGCAAGAATCTCTCTGAAGTAAAAAGCCCTGGAGCATTCTTACCAGATAATTTCTTAAAGATATTTCCAACTAGGTGTATTACTGGGGCTGGATGAATTGGTGCAAGAAGAAACCAAATGGAACAGATGTAGACCGTTCTCAAATGTTTGCTTTGCAATATGGAATGACAAAACCTAAGAGTTTAGCAGTTGTGCTCTTAAAAAATTTGAGATAGGGATTGGAAAGGACACAAAATATTCAGGTGAACCACTGCTAACAGAAGATGTAATACAGCTGCTGAGACCAGGCTGCTGCAGGTTCAAAGCTTGGATCAGAGGTGAATTTGCCAATTTCTCTAAACCTGGCTTTAGTTTGTGTTTGTAGAATGGAATTACAACATTTAAATGCCAAATGGTCAGATAAAGAAGGTAATTGCTTAGTATACATAAAAGGCTGTATCAGTGAAAATCTACCAAATGAAGAACATAAAACTGTAGGTAGGGTGAAGGAGAAATGACTGACACAGGAGTCAAGAACTAAATGTATTTACTAAGTATTCTGATGAGAATAAAACAATTTACTTGTCCTTCTTTATCTGTTCAGCACAGAGATACAAAGGAATTTTGTGTACACTGTTCCTGATGTTCTTGCTCAGGAACAGCATGCTGTCCTGCAGTATTATTTATTTAAATGGCGTTTGGCAATACCAACACAGATCTGGACACATCAGCATCCTGGCTGATGTGACACACTTTCCTGCATCAAAACCATTGCTGGATTTCCACTGTGCAAGCACATCCCTATTGAGCACAACTCCCCTTCCATCATGCTGACTCCACTTAGCTTTGTACACGTGCAGAGGAAAGTCTGCCCCTATCTCGTGTGTTGCAGGACCATAAAACAAAAACTGTATTGTGCAAGGAACAATCAAAAGATGTGATTGACAGATTGATAGATTGATAGACAGAGCCATTATATGGCCTTGTCTCCAGAACTGCAAAGGGAATTAAATGGCTGTCACTGCAGGAGAGCCTGGCTGCAGCCAGCAAAGCTAGGTCAAGGGATTTACAAGAGCAACACCTCACCTAAATTCTGAATTCTTGTTGTTCGAATTCTTGTTTCTTGCTCAGAAAGGAATTTGAATATACAACTAACAGATAACACTTATAGCAGTGATCTACTCTGATCTACCATTTCTAGCCAACAGGATATTAAGTTTGGCTTGTCTCAAGTCAAGAGAAGACCTGTCTCTGAACTCTACAGCTGTTTCATTTGCAGACTCTGTACTCTCCAACCAGCCACAGAAAGAGGTGTGGCAAAGCAGCACCACAATCACCTACTGGGGGAGAAGGAAACTAAAAGTCAAAGCAGGATTTTCTGGTTTATGGAAATAATGCAGTCATGGTCATCCTGGATCAATGTATTACAGAGCTTGAATGACTACCTCAGATCTTTTCTTTTTGGTTGAAAACAAAACCAAACCAAAACAAATAAACATAAACAAACAAACATAAATGCACAAAAAAAAACCAAAAAACATTACACACACACACAAAAAAAGAAAACCAAAACCAGCCCCACCAGATAACACTTATTATCACAAAACAATTGCTACACAATGTAAATACTTGTACGAAACCAGGCAAGATAAATGTTATCCTGCTATCAAATGATAAGTATTTATAGCTCTCCATAATGGTTTACTAGGAAAATAGATTGTGAAATGAAAATAAAAGTGGCAAACCTTTAAGCCTTTTAACATCTGATACACAAGGAACTGGATTCGGTCTTCAGTTAGTTTCTCATGCTTCATTATCTTACTTAAGTCTGTTCCCATAAATGGCATGACAAGGTAGCTAAAAAAGAAAGAAGGAAAGAAAAAAAGGACAGAATAACTCAGTCAAATAAACTGAGGTATAATTGTATGTTATAGTTCAGTGACAATATTAAATTATAGATCATGCTGTTTACCAAACAGTTCTACCACCTTCCCCCCAGGCTCTCCACGTTTCTGAGTTTTTATCTTCTAAGACTGTCATGAAGAGGTATCGCACAACCCTGTCAGTGGTTATGGAAAGTTGCTAGTTGCCAGGAGAGTACAGACACTGAACTAGATAAAAGGCACCTAATCAAGAGCCACATGACACTTCAGAGATATCTGCGCAGAAAACTAGGACATTCACACACGACGTTATCTATCTCACCATCAGGGGGCAACCAAATTGCCTAGATGATTCATTAATAGATGAGGTCAGATGTAACAGAGATTAATTTTCATCTAGGATCACAACCTCCTCTATCGTTGGTACTTCATACTGGTGAGGGACAGCAGCAACAGAAAGCTTGAGAACGTCACGGTGGTCCTTCACCACTAGTCTTCGCCTAAGGTGCAAACCTCTTCTTTGCACTGCTTGTAGGAAACTTGTTCAGAGTCTGTCCTTAAAGTCAGGTCTGGACAGAGGCAAAGCCAGTCACGTCTGGCACCAGAGGATAAATCACCAGTTTCCTTCATAGTATGAAGTAAGGCAGACACATTTTCATCAAGAGAAGGGTTAGATGTAGTCGTTGTTTCTTGGAGACAAGTTTTACTATGTAGACTTAAATGGGTTTCCTCTAGTTAAAATACAGGAACAGTAATTCTTTTGATTTCTACTTTTCAACCCGCTCAAAAACTTCTTTTACTGTATTAGAACTATAACTATAAACAAAAATGATAATGAATATAATGTCAAAGGCAGGTGGGACACTTGGACTTACAGATAGCATTTTGAACCTTCCCTAGGTACCAAACCTTTTTCCCCAAGACTCTGAGGATCAGGCATCAGGCTCCCAACCCAAGCATTCACAGACAGATTTGCTACTGTTTGGACAGAAAATATGCGCAATTTGATTCAGTAATCACGTAGGACATAGCAAATATGGAGAAGAGAATGAAATTTTTTCTCTCTCTTCAAGCACAACCCACAAGATGCTTATCAACAGACCCAGTAACCTAGAAAACTGAGTTTGACCTCTGCTTTGTTGATGTTCTTGGATGTTGAAAGCATATTAAGATCTCCCCCCCCTCATATTTATTAAATTCATTTTCCCAGAGGTCATGAATATTTGAAATGAGCCAGAAAAAGACATTAGTGAGTGTTACAGGAAAAAAAAAACAGAGGTAGAAGGAGGTGAGATGAGAGAAATAAATAAGTATCTACATGTCTTTTACTACCGGTAGTGACCTTCAACATTCATTAGGATTTTACTAGCCTGTTATCACCTGCACACATCCCAGGGCTCTGGATGGATAATGATTTATGTAAACAGACAAAGTTCACCACAATATATAACCACCCAGCACTGTAAAGAACAGGGTGGGAAGGGCAAATAAGACAATTTTTACACACACACAATGTGCTAAGTTTACAATTTGACAATTTCAAATCTCTAACAGTCTAATTGAGAAATGGCAGGGAAACAAAATTAAGGGAGGGAAAATCCATTCCTACCCGAGGTTGTAAACTCAAACTTTAGTAATAGTTAATGAGCAATGTATTGGAATAGAACAACAATAGGATAAAACATTAGGAGCTCACTTGAACACTTTGTCTTCTACTTAACACTTTGTCTTAAAATTTGTACTTAAAATTTGTCTTAAAATTTGTACTTAAAATTTGGCAAACTTATTTTTATTATTAAATACGTATTTACAATCCTGAAGTCCTCAAATAATCTTAAAAGGTTAGATGCTTGGTTAACAATTCTCTTCAGTGTGAACTTGATGCCTAACACGGTTAAGTTCCTTACAGTTCCAATTAAAACCCCCAAATTCTTACACCATGAGGAGGAGCAACCTGCTCTGGCACATTTTGTATGACACAAGAGCAGACAATGCAAGGAATACAGTTAAAGAGGCTGAAAAGCAGCTGTCCAGTAGGACTGCCATTGGTGAAGATTCATGCATCTCTGGTTTTGTCAACTACATCAGTCAGCTGATCTTCTGACTCTGAAGGAAAATCAACACGAGCATGAGCAAGGAAAGTTAACTGTTCCTTCATAAAGGAGATGGGATTTGTCTTTAATTATCATTATACCAAGTGGTAGAGCACAGGGGCAGGTGATAGAGCAGCAGGTAGAGTAGGAGCATGCTCCCCTCTGGAGAGGAGGGCTATAAGTTAGCTGAGAAACCCAAGGTCTCAGATAAGATCAGACCTGGGGGCTGGCTCTGGTGAAACCACCTGCCTTACTTCTGTTGCCTCTACCCACAAATCAGCTTGAACTTGATCTTTATACAACAGGCCACAGATAACATCTCATGGCCAGTCAGCAAAAGGAAAGTCTCCCTCAAATAACTCATCTGAGCTTTAGTTCACAAAAGCTGTTTCTCCACTTTTGTTTCAGATGTACACCCATCTAGCCCTGCACGTCTCTGACAGAATGCCAGAAATCCTGAAAGTAAATGTTGTCCTAGGTTGTAGTTTTAGACATAAATGCGTCCCACCTACTTGACTTGCACCTCCAAAACTTGCAGGATGATTTTAGGGTCACATTTCAAACCCAGTCCTTGAATGCTGATCATACACATGTGGATTTTATTGCATATGTTATGTAATAAGTTAGCACTACAGGCAACATGGACAACATCTTTTTTGGCTCAACAGTGGCGTAAAGGTATGAACACCTAGTCCATGTTTTCTGTGCTTTTTCCTCCTCTTCCTGTCAGGTAGCTTTCTCTATTAGCATACAAATATGCAGGGCAGTTTTTTAAATGTAGGTACATTTGAAGAAGTCCAGCACAGTTCTACAAACGTAACATGAAATCTCCGTTAAGCCCAAGGGGGTTTCTGACCACTGTTTCTGTACTGACTTGGATTCACAAGAACTGCAGCAGGATCCATACACACACTACATATCTGGTGTCTGCAATGCTGCCAAAAGGGAGACATCAGAGGGACGTACATGCCTGGTGCTAGCAATGATCTATATCATGTCCTGCTTGGATCATTTGGGCCTATGGGGTTAGTCAGGAGGGAGTGCAGACCACCCTCAGCTGGATGTAAGAGGCCGTAAAATCAGCAACGGGAAACCACACAGGGAGCACAACAGAGCAGAGCTCGGATATTCACCAAAAAAAATTCAACAGCAACAGCAGTTTTGAATTAATTCTAGAGTTAGGATGGACCACACTGGAGATACGCTATGTAGCAGGCATGATTTTCAGACTGTTTTCTTGGTTAAGAATGGTTCCATCATTTGATCAGTCTGGGCCTGAGGGTACATAATCAGCTCTTAAAAAGTGGGTTAGGCAATCCATCAAACTGGGATTTACTAAGGCCTCACAGAAGTATCATGCACCCGATAAAACAGATGGCTGGTTCTAATGATAGTCTGAAAACCTACCGATTCTGAAGATGCATGTAACAGTTGTATCAAGATGGGATTCAGAAAAAGCCATGAAGCAACGGGTTTGGAATTCCCCATTATTAAAAAATGCAAACAACCAGTCCTCCAAACAAGCAACACTCCCCTGCTCCCAAACAAAAAAAAAAACTCAAAACTTACAAGTCATTAAATTTCTCCAGCGTTACATCTGGTGTGAACACATCCAGTATTCCAATGACCTGAAAATAGGGGAAGGGAGAGAAAAAAAAACATGGATTAATACTGCCTTAACACAGATTCCTGAACCATGTAGTAAGTGGAGAAATATGATAAAAAGCTTTTTCATAATGAGACAAACTACAGGCATAAAGATGGCAGAAAGGATACCTGAATCAGTGCCTAGCAACATCAGGATCTGTTATGTATCATTTTATAACTCTGAGGGCTAATTTTGATTAAAAAAATGTATTTAGCTAAATAAAAGCAGCACTGGGCTACCCGCAGCCCTTCCCAGCTGCAGGCTGCCACTTTGGTACTGGGGCACGGTATTTGGGGTTGGTGGGAACGCATGCTGTCTGCAGCAGCAGGTTCTGGGGTTGGTCCTTTAACGGTGCATGTGCCTCTGCCACTGCCTCCTCTACCGCAGCTTTTAGAGGCAGGCCACGACTCAGGGATACTGTGGTACCGAGAGCTTCGAAGCCACACTGAGAAAAGGCATCCGAAAGCACTGTGACAAAAATGACAACATCAGGCCTGTAGGGCAGACTGCTGTGCCATCACCAGACTCTGGCCCTGATCTCCTTGTCAGTGCAGATGGGTTCTGTTGGCACGCCTCTGGAGCGTTAACCGCTGGGCAGGCTCCATTTGGGAGAGAAAGCAACAGGAATGGAAAATTGAAGAGAATACAATTATTATTCCTCAGTGACTTGTAACATTTATAACCTTATTCAGACCCATCTTCTTGGCTGCATGGTTTAGAGATTACACATCAGACTAGAACTGCACAAAATTAGAAACTTTAAGAAAGAAAATAGGGCTAAAAACATATTGTGTTGTCTGATGTTATTATCAAAGTACTAAAAGTACCACAAAATCCACTTCAATAACAAAGCAGGATGGATTTGGGACATTATTAGTATGTCTTGATTGTTCCTCAAAATAGGGATCTTAAAAAAAATTATGCAGAAGTAAAGAGAAATTCAGAGAGAGCAGAAATGTTGGAAAAGAAGGGAGGGAGGGAAGGAGACTTCCTTTACTTAAAGCTTTACCCAACTCTCGTGAAATCCCCAGTGCCTGTATTTTTATCCTTTCCACGTCCAAGGGATCTACTCCAGTTAGCCTGGATATTATCAAAATGCCATAAGGATGAACGAGATAGAAAATCTAATAAAGATGAAGACAGAAAGCTTACAGCTCTTTATCTTTGTGGCCGTATGTATCTTTGAAAGAATCACGAATAATATTTTCCTGAGGACTGTGATAAGAAACTTGTTAAATAATGTAACTACCATAAAAGAATAATTACACCCACAGAGGATGTGGTCATTATTTGAAGCAATACCTTCAGTGCTAATAACAGAGTGAGAAGCTGTGTATTTTTATATGACAGTTTTACATAAAGTTCTCTGTTACTACATGGAGGACGGAGGAATTAGGAAGACGTATGGGACACCACTGGAGGATAAATGCATCTCTAAGGGTGTTTCCTAAGGCACTGTGTGTACACACACACACACACACACACACACATACACAGTTACAAAAGCTGTGTGCTCTCCATACGCCAAAGATTTCAGTATTAACAGAAATATTTTAAGGGTAATCTTATCCAACACGCATTTCTTTTCCTATCTCTACTTTTTCAGAAATCCTGCTTGCTCTCTTCCAGGAGATATTTCCACGCCTTCATTTACCCGAGCTATTTGCCTAAGCAACCTGAAACATACTGAAAATAAACTCTGTGATGTAGGAGTGCAGCAGTGAATGATGCAGGGACAACCCCACGGAAAGAACCAACGGAGCAGAAGACGAAATGATAAGGAGGCTGCTCTGCATCCATGGCTACACAAAAATGTTATCAGACGCCTGCTGTGGAACACGGGAACATAAAGAACACATTTCAATAGAGACAACGCCAGACTAAATAAATAAATAAATAAATTTCACTAAAATCTTACTTTTTCTCTATTAAAATAAACAGTGCCCAGTAATTACTTTTGTCTTTTATCACACCAAGGATTTCACCATACTTTTGTTGCTCTCCAAAGTGAGCTTTCTAAAAATCCTGAAATCCATTTCAGTGTTTAAAACATTAAGTTGTACTTAATAGTTCAGAAATAAAAGCAAGAGACCCGTTTCCTTTTCCTCGGTGATCTTTATTTAACAGCTGTGCTTTGGGATGATTTTCCTTTACTGGAACAGAGTCGTTAGTATTTCCATTTTGGTCTTTGCTTTCTGCAGATATGTTAAGAACAAGGAGGCACAGGATAAAATAAATCTTCCGAGGAAGATAGAGCTCCAGATATTTCTTCAGGAAAAGGAAAAGAACTGGGCAAAGTGTAGGAAACTCCCTCCTCCATATCATGGAAAATCCGAAGTCTGTCTGCAATGCTCTCTCTCAGTTGAATGCAATATTTGTAAAAACTTTATGGTACTGCAACATACTGGCCCAGCACAGAAGCAAGCCACCATGAGACATAAATGGCAAGAATCATCTCTTTTTCGTGGTGTGGTCTGTATGAAGTATAACCAAGGTCTGTGTGAAACGTTCTGTAGTTACCTGCTGGTGTTAATTCGGCTTGCTTACTGATTTTATCAGAGATGGAGGCACAGGCGAGGAGCGAACTCGCTACACCACAGGATGGCAACGAAAAGCACCTGTGGAAACCAGCAGCAGTGCTGCCCTTCCATGGCCACCTTTTTTCCCGTTAATTTTGCCACCAGGCAATTTCTGGAATGAACACACCCCCAAAGGATGCACTTTGTTTCCTGCTACCCATCTGGCTGAAAACCAGCCTGGATTTCTGTGAGCTCCCCTGCAGTACCCTCCTCGTTGGTCTCTGAGCACGTCTAAAAGAGAAGGCACGGCTCTGAGCCTCTCCCTTCTTCCTGCAGAGCAAAACCACAGTGACAGCAGAGCTACACTCCCATGCATTTTATTACTTTTGTTCGAGGGCTGTTCCACCGGGTTTCTGTAAAGGAAGATTTCTGGTGTAAGCAGCAGTACATCAATGAAAGACTCCGATCCTGTATAAATTAATAAGTAATGTTGGCTACATCCCCCGTGCACTCAGTGCTTCTTTATGCTGTGGATGCTATGCATGAAAACACAGCGAAGTTGAATGGCTTTGGCACTCGGGCTACGAACACAACCACGTTTCTCAGAGGGATCCCTGCTGGAGTACAGCGAACTATATATATCACACTGCCTTACATTTTCTGCAGCATTAGCTTCAACTTCATGCTCTTGCTCTGCTCCGCATCACAGGGTGCCTGCATCCTTTTATTACACCAAGAAGCCTCGATCTTTGTAATTATCAAGCACAAGGCTTGTGCTACAGTCACCTTTTTCCACCTGGGATTACCCAGCTGTTCTGCTACACCGTGCTGAAGGCTGTCTGCCAAGGGACAAAGAGCTCCTTCCCCTTCTTTTCTGCACAACGCTGACAACACGAGCACGGCGTCCTTCTCAGTGCCCTAAAATCTTAGTTGTAAAGGAACAAAGAATGAAAGGAGAAAGGCAGAGAATAATGAGTGGGGAAAAGTACTTTTCTGATCAGATTCGCTGCAGTCCTGAGGGCTGGAGGACTGCTCTTTGTGAAGTAAAAGCAAGTCAGAGAGCGCCCGCAGGCACAAGCCATGCCTCAGGAGCTGCGTCCCCCTTTCTGTAGACCTACCAGCATCCGACAGATTCAGATCCTGTGGACTTGCACTTTGGACTGGATGATGATCCTAAAACAAAGAAGGTTTGGGTTTTGCTGCTGCCCTCCTTCCTTTGTTTTACCGGACTAAGCACTTTAGCCTGCTTTACTGCTGGGCTGTGAACAAACAGGTAGTGGCTGAAGCTTGGCCTAGACAAAACACCTATTAGGCAGGTTTGTAAAAATAAGTAGGACATGTGACAACTGATATCTCTGCGTTGATTTATTGTCTTTTGAGTACTAAAACAAGTGACTCCAGTGTCCTGTCAGCTCCCAAGCTCTTTTTAGCTTTCACCATGCAGAAAATCGTCCATCAACATTTCTCCCCTACAATATTTGACAGCAACAAACTGTATTTGTATTTCTGCTCTACTTGTATTTCTGCTTGCAGCCCATAAGGCAATTTACCACCTCCAGCCAGGATTCCCAGTTTGCACCTAACGGGCACTTAGCTACTCGAAGGCTGTGATTTTGTAGGTGGTGCAGTCCTGCAGGGCTTCCTGCAGGAAATCTAATACAGGGAGCATTCATATTTGCCACCCTTCGTCTGTAAAGGCACGTCTCATCTCTAACTCCCTTCTTGTTTGGATTTCGTATGGTGCAGGGACTGCTGCTCTTCTAATGCTCGTACCTGGCTGGCTAAACTGCAAAAGCTGACAGTCTGAAGGTTTCCTCAGGTAGGAGGCAAAATTTCCCACTATTTGCTCTGAAATAAATTCCTCCCTTGGCGGACGCTCTGTAAGTGTAACTAAAAAGCCTCGCTTTTGTCAAAATGAAGAATCCACCATAATTATCGGCTGACCCAAAATGGAAGGCGTGCATCATCCTCAGAAGCATAACCGCAGAGTGAGAGCTCATTCGGTGCCTGCTGGATACCTGAGTCCCTTCCAAGAGGGAGAAAAAAAGCTAAATGGCTCTCCTAATGTAAAACATACATTGTTCTTCAGATGTTGGAATTCACCAGAGAGCAATTTCCACACAGAGCAATGACTGAGAGCATAACACCGAGTACCTTTAAACAAATACTGCAGCTGACTCTTACAGGGTTTCCAGGAAGAGAAACATCTGTAGAATATTAACCGACTCAACTTCAGAAATGTTTAACGGGCATTTGTGAAAAGTTTTATGCCAAAAACACATTCGGAATTTAAGTTGGTAGAACTGGGTCAGAATTACTGTGCAAGCTTAGATGTAATGTATACACAGATACGTGTGTATGTAGGCAGACATTTACACCACTCTCCTACAACCCACACTCCATTCTGAAACAATCCATTAGCAGTAGCTGCTGCTTTTCTCTCTCTCCAGTGCCATTTCTCCTTGCCAGCTGTTCTGCGCTCCCGACGGCAACTTCAAAACCGGCGTTAGCAAGCTGAGAGGTGAGCAGGGCGCTAGGGCTGAGCCGGCAGGAGGCACGACGCAGTTACTTCATCAAAAGCGGGGGTCAGAGCATCGCTTCCAGTTGAAACGCACCATAAAATCCAAGTCGTTTGCCAAAGGAAACCAAAGGGTCTGCACCTCTGCTTACTTGCCTGGGTTTAATTTGACAAACACAGACATCTCCACTGACTGCAGAGGAATACGCGCCTGCAGACCGATGCACGTGTCTGCAAGCCGGGGCCAGGACCCAAGCAAGCCCACTGGCAGGGTTTCCGTTCTCTTGCTGGTTTTAAGTCAGAGCCATAACAGATAGTTTTAACTGGCCTCACGTTAAACGAACTCAGAATGTAAAGAAGCAGAGAACAAAAGCAGCACTACTGGAAAAATCCTCCTGAAGGTAAACAGCCTGTTCTTCTCTGTAGATGCCAAAGCAACAAGAAAGATCTGTTAAGGCTGTAGTGGGATGAATACTTCAAGCTAGCACGAATACATGAAGAAAAAACAACAAAAACCCAACAAAAACCCACACTGCATTCTTCATTCTGCCTTAGCTGTTTTTATTCGTCATTTTCACACCATTCCCTCCTCTGCCAGAATCTCTTTATGCAGCTACAGTGATCCGGCAGCTTATCCCACTGGAAAGTAACTTTTTGGCAGTATCCGAGGAATTGATCTGTATCAAATTACTTCTTAGGCAGCAGAAGGAGCTTAGGATGTTTGTAAAAGATCCCAGCTCCTCTCAGACTAAAACACCTCCCAAAAAATAGGTACTAGTGCCATTAAGGACAGCGCCTTATCTCTTAACAGCCAGGCCTCACCCTCTTCATACACGGCCTCTGCTCCATGGTCCTCAGTGCCATTCGTCCCCTGGGTTTGTTTGCAAAGGGGTGAAGATAAGCCCCACACTACATAGTTTCCATGGCTTATACAGAAATATTCCTCACTACATTTCAGTAATGTGCTGCTAGAGAGCTACTAGGAAGCACAAAGATCTAGCATATATAATTGAGAAGTCATCCTTGCAACCACCATTACCTGAAGATGCCTAACCAGATAAGCAAACCGACCTGTGGGCTGGTTTTCCTAGGGGGTAAAATACAATTCCACTACCATTCAGAAGGATGACTCCCATATTTACTTTTACAGCATGACAGGTCATCCCACAAACGTTCCACATTAAAGGAGCACGCTCTTCAAAGGATCAACAAGGGTAATCCAGGTAATCCAGGGTATTAAGCAGAAGTTTTCTTCAGTTTTCTTCACTGAAACAAGACATACTGATGAATTGTATCATTGTGGCATGGGTTTCATGGTATCTCCTGCCACCTTCATGGATCAGAGATGTTATTTTTTATCACAGCATTGTCATGAAATGGACAAAACATCACATTCTTCATGTAATCTGCCATCAAGTGCATCATGATTACCCAAGTTATTTTAAAAGAAAAACAGACTACAAGAGCGAACTGGGTGTCACTCTAACTATCATATAAACAGAATTTTGAATTAGTTTATAACCTGAAGTAGGAAGAAACAAGATGAAGGCCTGTGTACTGGCAGATTAGTGCAGTGCTGCAGCAACACCCCAAATCCAGTCCATAGCAGCAGTACTGTTAGACTGGCTGTTGCACCCCACCACTTACACTTGGATTACCAACGCCCGAGAAAGAGATCTTAGTGCCATCGCTATTTTATTGCGGTCTTTGAAACAATTACTTCAATTTTATTATTTCTTAATAGCTTACATTACAGCCAGAAAGACAGATGCCTGCTATTATGCAGAAGTATGCTGTAACATATCAGTTTACTGAAAAATCAGGAGCAATATTTAAATCACCGCTCTACTTTTTCCTGCTATAAGGAGATTCTCACTCACGTGAGCCCATTCAAAACTCAACAGCCCATGGAAACCACAATGGCAAGGACAGAGAACAGGCGGTTGTCCTGCCACTATTGTATGTAACATTAAAAATGTGAGCAACACGCTGGGGACTGCTGATGTGAATAAGGAAGGACAGGAAGATCAAAATGCTACATATTTCTGTAAATCCATCCTTTGGTAGTAATACGTAAAAAAGCATGTCTTTGGTGGTAGATCAAAGACTTGGGGGCGGCCTGAAAATCCTTATGAGGAATGATGCTGCCACGCTGGTCTAATTTTGGATGGGTGGAATGGTTAAAGGAGTACCCCAAGGTCAGCATGGGGGCTAGAAATCCAGAAAGGCTTTGCTACTAGTCCTAATTCACAGTGGGTGAAATGAATGGTATGAGACTGGAATGGTGGATGGAAATTCTCGGAAAGGGCAGTACTGCCACTTCAGCCTCGTACTGGATGGGTGGTGGAGACAGTTTCTCTCTCTACAGTGTTCACAAATCCCTCGAGTGATCATTTACACAGTCATTGTTGTCTAATGAGTAAATGCCATAACTCATGGTAAAACTCTTCCTTACTAACGAGGTGAGATTTTTCTTTCTGTGGGCAAACTGTTTTCTAAGACTACAAATAATTCTTTTCCTCCACCTCTATTGATTTGTAACTTTTACAGATCACATTTTCTTCTAGACTCTTCAATTAGCTAACAAGGCCATGGTGGGGTTCCAGAGCATTATCCTGAAGGGCACACACTATGTAAAAGCAGCCAGGAGTGGAAAACGCTGCCCAACAGATTATTCTGGGAAATGGAAGAAAAATAATCTCCAAATTCTGGACACGGTTAAGAGTTTGGCAACTGCATGAGCTGATCTGCTCCCAAATGTTCAGTAAAGAAAATGCGGAGAGTAGAAACCCCAGATATGACACAGAAGTTCCCTGCAAGTGTTAACTCTAATATATACAGCAGTGGGTAAAAAGCAGTTAATTCAAAAGAGTCATCAAAGAACATGATGAAGTAAAATAAAAGATTCAGACTAAAGTGTTAAACACAAAATCCTCAGGCTACAAAGAGGCCTGCTTTTTCTGGACAGTCAGCATCTCCCACCAATTATTCTTCAAAATGAACCTGTGTTTGCTGGTACTCAGAACGTTAATACCATAATGTGACATGACTGTGACTGGCTACTGTTAGTACCAATTTCTCTCCAACTCATTTTCAATCTTGTAGCTTGCCTCGAAGGCTATCTGAACAGAGTGATGCTCTAATCTCCCACATCATTAACATTTTAAACCAGGCTCTTATGCATCATTTTAAAAAGTCCCCCTCCACCCCCCCATTTCTCTTTGTTTACCACATACGCTCTCCAAAACCAGCATTTAAAGCCACAACTGCGATCCTCCCAGTCCATTCTGGGACCCTTCTCATGCTTCAATTCCACAAAAGCTGTTCTCACACGAATCTGTTGGGACTAAGTATCTTTATCTCATTCACACTTTTAACATTTCTTTCTACAGCTGTTCTTTTATATTGCATGGGAATCTGTGCCAAGGTCTGCATCCTAGTCTCTGCTTCCCAGTAAGCAAATTATTTAGTCACTCCCCAACATTTCCTGCTTCATGTTAGCACAAAACCAAAACTTTCAAATACTTTGTGACAGATAAACAACAACAAAACCCTACTCCCCCCCGAAGATACACATGTGTACCAGACCCACCTTCAAGAAAGTCCAGAAAAAGAGATGCTGTCACGTGAGATACCCAGGCACAGACCCGTGCTCTGCATTCTCTTGTAACTCATGTGAATGCAGTGATGGAGATGTAAGTTCAGGTCTCTTGGTCCCTCTTGCGAGCTCTGAGCACAGATTGAGCACCGTGGTCCTAACCTTTCCCACCCAACCCTTCCTACACATAAAGGAAACGGTGTCACCCAGAGGGGATTCCACTTGGCGTGTGCAGACACCCGGAGATAAAGGACAGACAGACAAAGACAGACAAGCCGGTCTCGCTGAGAGAGCCCTGAACACTACGCAGCTACACAGCTGCCTTGTCTGCCAATTTTCTTTTCGTTTTAGAGTGTGAAAGCTGCTGCACCGCGGGGACCTGCCAGTGCCCCAACTCACGTTTTCGTGCTTCATGTGCTTGAGGAGGCGCAGCTCGCGGTAGGCTCTCTTGGCGAAGAGCTCCGACTGAAACGGGCGGTACAGCTTCTTTATGGCCACTTTGGTACCGGTCCTGCCATCGACAGCCGAGCTTCGGGGAGCGGGAACAGACAGCTTGGTGAGCGGGGACCGAGGCGACACCGCCGACCCCAGAGCCCCACAGGGCTGGCACACTCGCCCTGCTCTGTCACACTCACTCTGCCCGGGCACACTCGTTCTGCTCAGGCACACTCCTTGTCTCAGACCTCTTTTTCCTCAGACACACTCGTTTTGCCCTGGCACACTCTCCGTGCCCAGCCCTCAGCGCGCTGCCTCACTCAGGGGACGACCTGCACCACCCTCGGCTTCCCCCAGCCGGGGGCGAGCCCGGGGACGGCGGAGACCCCCGCGGGGCCCCGAGCCGAGCGGGCAGCGTGGCGGGGCCGCCTGGCTCCCCACCCCCGGAACAAGTTGGCAGCAAACAACCAGGGAACAAAGCGAAAAGCGCCGCGGGCTGCGCCCCGCCGCGGCTCCCCCCCGGCCCCTTCCCTCGGCCGGGGTGGGGGCGCAGCCCTGCCCTTACCCCTGCCCCTTGCCCCTGCCCGCTCACCAGACGGCTCCGTAGGCGCCGGAGCCCACGGGCTGCAGGTCCCGGTAGCGGTCCCGCACTTCCCAGAGGGTTTTGGTGACCTCCTGGCGGTAGAAGCCGTTCTTGGGGGAGGACATGGTGCCGCGGCCCCCTGCCGGCACCCTCCAACAAAGAGCCCGGGGGAGCGCGGGAGGCGAGCGCCGGGCTGAGGCGAGCCGAGGCGAGGCGAGGCGAGGGGCCGGGCTTGGCCGCGCTCCCTCGGCGCCGCTCCCTCCCTCTGCCCGCCCCTGCCCCGCTCAGCCCGGCCGGGCTGCTCCGGGGGACCGGCAGGGAGCCGCCGACCGGCCCGGGGCAGCCAGGGGCCGGGTGTCGGACACGGCAGGTGCCGGTCAGGCAGGGCAGGAGCCGCGTGTGGCAGCGCCTCAGCCCGCCTCCATGGTGGCGGCGTTCGCGTGGCCCCGTGTGAGGGGCTCAGCGGCAGCTCTGGCGCTTCTTCGCCCCTCAGAAACGTGGAAAAAAGGGGTGCGGGACACCCCACGGACACCACAGGCGACTCTCCCTCAGAGATGAGGGGTGGCAGACCCAAGGAGGGGCCCGGTGACCCGCTGGTGTTGTCGAGGGGGAAAGCATTGAGCTGCCCGGCATGTCCAGTGCGTGTGCCTGGTGGTGTGTGCCCAGAGAAATGTGCTGGGTGAGGCTCTGCTCTAGCAGGACATGCTTAAAATCCATCTGCTGCCCCTTGGCACGGTTGTGTGCTGCCTCGTGTCTGTGGGTTTGGTGGGCTGGCATAGATTTTTGCAAAGTTCAAGAGATTTTCCCAGTTCCAGTCGTTTCCCCCGTGACATTGGTCTTGGCGGTGGCAGCTGGAACTGGGAAAGTTCCTGGAGCTGCCAGGAGCAAACGGCTGGCTGGTGTACGTGTTGAAGTCCTGGTGTGAATTAGGGGTGCGCTGAGTCCTTGCTGTGAAGCTGAAAGCAAATATGTCCCTGCCTTCCTCTGTATACACACACCATGGCGTGGCACCTCAGTCTGGGCTCATTCTGCGTTAGAGCTCTGGGTCTGATAGCTGATTTCTTATGAAAGTGTTAAGGGATATAAAACAAAAAATAAAAGTGGAAAGAAGAAGAAATGACAGTTACAGACAAAGCAGCAGAAGCTCTGAAAAGTAAGCAGGGACAGGAGGAGGACAGGGGCAATCCTTCATAGCCAGCCAGAGGGGCTGTGCCTGACCCCCTTCCTCCTGCAGCTCCAGGTGTTTGTGAAAGTGCTCGCAGGAGAAGGAAGGGACTGAATGTCATTGTGCTGTGACAGCCCTTGGTGGCCCCCACACATACGCTGAGGGGCTGTAACTTAGTCTGATGAGAGCTGGGAGTACAAAAGTGAGCTTTCAGATCACCCTTGCACAAAGCTGCACAGCTGTGGACTTCCCACTTCACCTCAGGATCAGACCCAAAGTTTCAACAACATTTAATATTGTTAAATAGAAACAGGTATGCACTTAATTTAGTTGCTAAAGCAAGTGGTCCCCTGCACATTTGGTGTGATATGAAACAGTTCAAACAGCTGCTTAAAACCACGGCTGTGCTGGAAGATGGAAAATAGCAACCTTCATGGTGTTTTGATAGTAAATATGCCTGGTCCAGCATGTGTACGGCAAAGACCTGCTTTTAAAAATGCATTATGTTTTCTCTGTGTGTATATAATTAGATCCTTGCCCTTTGTTTTGTCTGACTTCACCCCTGAGCAATGTTGCTGAGGTTAGGTAATTCAGACTTCCTGTCACTAGAGTTCGTTTTGTGGCTTAGCTAGAGAGGGGCAGTCTGGCCAAGTTGTGTTGTTCCCAAGGCCTTTTTGGTAGTTCCAGGGGTCCAGACCTCTCTGTGTGTAACTACTAAATCTGGGAGAGCAGCCCTGCCCTGCCTCCTCCCATTATTTGCACATCAGATACAAATTCACAACATCCTTCCACCACACAGGTGTTTTCCAGTGCTGCTCTCTGCTGATATTCGACCTGTTGGACTCCCTGTTTTAATGAGGACAGAAAACAACCTTCTGACACACAGCAGGTAATGCAAGGCTCGTGTCAAAAGTTAGATTAACAGTACACATTTGTTTTTCAAACCCACAGTCCCATCAGATTTTATTTGTTTGTTTGCTTTTTAATTTATGCCATCACCTTTATGCACTGTTTGGCATTCAGATGGTGGCTGGAGAGAAATATGATATGGGTGAGGTGAAGGCTAGAAAGTGGTACTCTTACTCAGCTCTGAGTGACACCGTTATTTAAATTACATTTAATGACAAATAGATATGTATGTATATAATACAATGAGAATTTGTTCTACTTTTGGTCTATAGCCCATTTTTAGCCCAATATAGCTCAATCCAGTCATGGCAATATGATGCTTCCTTACTGCTTTTTATCAAGGCAGAAAGTGGATGATTTTGACAATGTAGGTGAAAATACTAACCCAGCACCAAGACAATACCACATTTGTGCAAAAGTTCAGAAGATTACAGAGCAGCTTTCTTAAGATATTTTAAATTCAGTGACCGAGTTGGCCGGTGCTGTTTTTCCCTGTGCTTTTCCTTCACATAAGTAATTAGATTTACTTTGCTTTAGATGGATGAGGGAGCAGTGTAGATCAAATACAAGACCACCTTTCCTCGTCGAGTTGCACATACAGCAGATGCACTGATAAACTTACTGAAAAGAACAGGAAATTAGCACTGTTGTGAGATGGAGGCTTCTAATAAAGCCATTAAGAGCATCCATGGCAGGAGTGAAAAGAGAAACTTGGATCCATCCACAGCTAGTAGATGTTATAGCAGAGTCACAAAATGCATCAGCCTTGGTATCCTGCTAGGCTTGGCTGGATATATTATATTGTATTTTCCCAAAGACAGTCTGTTGCAATTACACCAACATGATGCTACAGCCATATCTTATCCCAGGCAGTGTGTGCTTGACAGGGCTAATTAAAAAAGGAATGCTCTCAGATGTTTCTGCTTTTGGCATACATTTATTGTAAAGCTTATAGAGCAAAGAGACCTTCCTTAGACGTCATGAATAAAAGTGCCCTGCCTGTAAAGGGAAAGTTTTTCTGGGAGGAAACAGTCATGTTGGTATCTTTTTTATCTTTTTTTTTTTTTTGATTTTGATTTTTATTTTTTAAGAGCCACCTTTCAGTGTGTTGGAAGGTTGCCATCAGCCGTAAAGCATATGAGGTAGATAGGATGTGTTCAGTAGTTGTGTTCCCTCCAGGGACTGCTAACTCAATTTCCACTCCAGTCAGGACATGAGGCTTCAGTGCTGCAGGAGCTCTCTGAGAGAGCAGTGGAGAAGCTAACCACCTCTGCCTGAGCAGTTCTGCAGAGGAGGGGTAGTTACAGAGTCTGGTGAGAGAGTTGCATGGTAACTGCTCAGAACAAAGAGTTTATTAACAGTGATAAAATGACACGGCATAATTTCTCAAGGCATAAACTGGGGGCTGACTGCCGGCCCTGAGGGAGCTAGGTGCATCTTTGTGAACAGGTGACAGTGATCCCCCAGCCCAGACATTGGCAACAGGGGAAAGCAGAAGATCATACAAGGTCCTTGGAAAAATCAAGCGCCTTCCCACCTTACTGCCCATATCTTTTAGATGACTTTCACATGGTCAAAACAAGCTCATCTTGACAGTATTTCGCATGTGAATACTTCAGTTCTGTAAAACGTGCTTTGAAAATGGCAGTAAAACTTAAAATTTTGCTGGATCGTCAAAGGCTGATTCCTAGAATATTACTTCTTTAAACAGCCATCCATCCCCACTTTCACAAAGTAGCCTGTTCTTGCCTATTTATGTATGTTGCTGTAGAGGAAGCAAATCAATTTAATTTATTACAAGGAAAAGTAAAGCTTTAAACAAAAACACCAAAATTCTTCTGAAAGTATTCCTGTGCACTTGTGTCCACACCCTTCCCCACTGGAGCTGTTGCCAAGTGTTTTGCAACTCTTCTGTTGTTTCTGTGACCTCTGAGCAGGGTGCTTGAATCCCGGTTTCTGTAACGTGGAGGAGACTTGGGGACCCAGCCATACTGTGAGAATGCAGTGAGCAGGTAGAAATAAATATGTACCACCTGAGTGCTTTATTTTTTTTTTTTAAGTTCATTTATTAGTTTTATTTTTATAAACTGGGCATTTCATTTGTTCAAGGTACTGAGTGAGAGGTTACTGCAATATTTACAACCCCTACTCTTTATTTTTCCCAGCTGGAAGTGGGATGGAACAAGCAAAGCCAGATTCAGAGATTAGCAGACAGGTATGTATAAAACAACTCCTTGTCACACTCTCGTAACTCCTTGACTTCATTCTCATCACTCTTTGATTTCAGATCATGCCTAAAGGCCCTCTGCTTACTGATTCCTGAAATAAACTGATGTGTGAGAAGTGTTTCTGTCTGATTTTGGGGCATCGGGAGCAGGGAGGAAGCGTTGCTGCTTTTAATCTATAGCAGACTGTCACAGTCTGCAATCTGATGGAGCAGAGGAAAAAACACTCTTGGTTTGAAGAGCTTTCCATTGCTAATTCAAAAATTGCACAAAAAGTACATTCATGGGTAGAGGGTGATAGCTTTTACCTATTTGTCCCTACATAGCTGTGTGCATCACCTGTTTATATCACCACAACCTTAATGGTACTCCTACCCACGGTCCCCATCCTCCTTAATACTGCAGTCATTTGATGCATTTTCAGCTGAAGCTGATGAGAAAGATGGACTGGACATGAGTACGCTGTGTTAGTTTAGCACAGAATGTAACACCTGGGGTTTATTCTTGATTTGAGCCTTTGGGCTCTATTATAAAACGAGTATGAAATACAAATACAAGATCTTAGTGCTATTCTACAGGATACCATTCCGTAAGGGATGAAGTATGGCTCAGTGGAGGTGCCAGGTAGGGCAGGTTCGGTGTGTATTTGTCTCATGGCTGCCACCGAGATTCAGGTGCTACTGCATTCGGTGATCAAATGGGAATCCAAAAGGACGAGCTGAAACCTCTCCATTCAATGCCCAGGTTAACTACTGACAGAAACTGGAGCTGAGGGACCATGCGACTGCAGAACGACGCATCTGTATGCACGCAGGATCGAAGCCTGAGGAACAGTTTCATTCATTATGTAGAAATTTGCTGTATGATGGATTAAGGATCGTATTGGTTTGAAGATCAGCATTAGCACTGGAAGCTCACGGGATATCCCCCCTTTTATTCACAACGTAGAACCTTTTGCACACGTCAGCTCAATATTTTATACTACAGGAGCAAGAAGGTCAATGACAGCCACGCTAATGCAGCTTTCTGACCCTCTTGGTGCTAGTCACATAAAATCCTCACGCTTTTTGTATTTGCCTACTTACACGGGTCCCATTTGTTAATGCATGCAGCACTCAGTGTTGAAAACCCATCAATGTCAAAGACTCATAAATGAATGCCACTGGGTATGCTCACTTTGTGAGAGTGAGAGGATTTTCCGAGAACCAGCTTCAGAGAGCTGCTCTGCATCTGCGGATGCTAGCAGCTTGGTTCATGGGCAGGAGAAACAAGCAGCTCCTTTGAAGGCCGTTGTGATGAGTTTCTTCCTAATGAGGCTGAGCTTGCCGAGCTTGAATTCCTTTCTGCTGCTAGCAAAGGACATAAATCATCCAACTTACATGTACAGCGCATTTCTCTTTTAGCAAGGGCTAAATGTTTATCACCGCTTACCTTGCAGGGATTCTTGAGCCAGGCCGGCAATTACAGATTTGGGACTGCACTTAAATAGGTCATTTCTAATAGCTTCATCTTTGACCAGGCTGTGGGTGTTATGAAGGGGGACGTCGGCATCCTTTTTATCATCCAGGGGCTCATGTGACGGGAAGAAAGGAAGGAAGTGGCTTTTGTATTGACTGCTCCCCACCTCAGTCAAAGACTTTGTTGTTGCCAATATCCTGTCCTTCAAACAGCTGTCCGGCCCCGTCCCCCATTCCTGGGGTGAGTGCTTGCTGTCTCCATGTAGTCTTGCAGTGAACTGAACCTCCTTCCCTTTCAATTTTCTCTTTTATACCAAATAAATAATAATAATAATAAAAAAACCACTTAGAGCACTAAGGGAAATCCTACAACAATGCTGTCTAATTAACAGGTATTGACCTATTATTGCATTATACTTTTTCATACACCAGTGCTGATCACCTCATTTTCTATTTGATTTTGTTTTCTATATATTCCCAGAGTTATTAGTAACCCTGCTGTTTTGTACCTGTGCCCCCACTGTGTATTTTCTGGGAGGAGGGAATTTTGCGTATTATGGCAAGCGATACCCTGTAATGCTGTGCTTTTCTTCTAAACCATCTTCAGGGTTTCTTTCTATCAGCACACTTGGAAATTAGAGATAGCTTAAAAAATGAAGATGCATATTTAAAAAGAAACGCAGTGTATACTTATGCATATCAAAAGATTGAGCTAAATGTAAAAGACTTTTTTTCCTTCTGCAAGATCTTTTACTTCCAATGATGATAAAATTACTAGATTTGGGGTTGCACTTAACGCTGATTAGAGTGAGATAATAAATACTAGAGGTAATTTCAATTTAGTAGGTAGCGGGATAACAAGCTCTAGTGACTGAAAGCTGAAATTAGGTAAATTCAGATGAAAAGTAAATTGCTGACAATGACAGCAATTAACCAGCGAGAGCCCTCCGAGAGTTGTGATGTTTTCCTCCAGTGGCAACGTGAGTAGCTGAGCTACAGCTGAGTTGTTTGCCCGTGTTTTGCTGAGAATTAATTCTGTGCTTTGCAGGTGAGCAGGGATGGCAAGCGCCATCATTTATTGTGGGCTACAGCCTATGGCACTCTCTGCAAATATACGTGCCATATACAAAGAACGTACAAAAGCACAATTGTAACAAGGAGTGGTGTTAGGAAATTGCAAAAATACAGTTTAGCAGGCTGTACTGTAAAAAAGTTTTGCAAATAAAACTTGGGCCCTGTAAACAATGCCTTTGTTGAAGACATTTTAGCAAAAAAAAGCCAAAATGAAATAAAATCCCGAATTTTATAATTATTTGCTCTATTTTTTTTTATTTTTTTTTTCTCTATTCTTTAAAATTACTTCTAAGTGATCTTACACATTCACCAGCCATGAAAAGACCTCGCTCCTAAATGGTTACCTCTATTGGCCTGTTTCTCCTGGTTGAAAAATGCTTTTTTTTTTTTTTTTTTTTTCCCTCCATCTGTGTTCAGACGATAAGCATTATTAGCACTAAGCCGTCCATGTCGCAGTCTCAGTGGGGTACTGGCTTTCCAATTACCCCGTCCTGCTGCTGGGAACTGATAAACTTTCCACGCTGCATTCCCGCATCTCCACAAGGGAGTCTGCTACCTGTTCTAGGAAAAATATATTAATTAGTGGCTTTTAGGTCTAAGAAATCACCTTGATATGGCAAATCAAGGAAAAAAAACATCTCTCCCACTACCGTTTTTCTTAACATTTAAATGAGAAATGATTTGTGGGTTATGATGGTATTTAATTAAAAATAGCTGAGCTGCTGTTATCCATCACTCTGTCACCTCTGATCAGTTTGCACGTGGCTATGACTGTGCTCTTCCTACATAATTTATCTCCTAGAAGAAATTACATCTGTGAATGGAAATTGAAATACATTTTTTGTTTGGTATTTTAAAGAAGATTCAGAGTTGCCAGGAGAACAAATTTTGGAAGCGATAAAAAACTTTCTCTTTCTACTTTACTAGTAGAGATATGTCAAGCAGAGATTGTCTGCTATGTGCCTACCACGGAGTTTTACATGTTCTTTTGAAACATTTGGTGATGGCCACCCCCGTAGCCAGGAAACCAGATTAAACAAATGATGGGACAAATCCCACACTAAATTCATTATCATTTGATGTGAAGGGTTTTCAGGAAATTTCGTTATTTCATTCTTGCCCTTCCAGCTGGGGAATAGCTGCAGATCAGCCTAGCAAGCTCAGTATGAGATTTCAGAGAAAATAAAGCACCAACTATTTCTCTGTTAAGTCGTAAACAAGCAAATTAAAAATATATATACTTAAGACATGTCTGAGGGATTATTTTTCATGCAAATCGTTTAAGGATTTATAGTCTTTTCACCTATTTTAGCATCAAATTCAGACAATTGCTGAATGACCAAGCTTCATCCAGCTTCGAAGAATGTCAACGTAATGACAGCCAGACAGCAATTCAAAGGACTCCCGATAAATCCATGCAAGCATTTACTTTCAGGTTAATAAGCCTTGAAGAACATTGAATCCAAACAGCTGCACTCTGCTGAAGGTGAGTATTAGGTAACTGGCAAACATTGTCAACAAAAGCCCACCAGTTAGACCACACATGAGGAGCAAATTTTGTAGATGGAATGATTAGTTCTACTTTTCGAGAAGACAAGCAATACCACATCAAGTATCTTTGGAAAATAAAAGCTCTTGGACTTGATTTTTTAAATCTGTTTATTAAGAAAAAGGTTTTGTTTTTACATAGAAAAGATACAGAGGAAGGTAAATAAATGCAGTAGAATTCATTAGGTCATATAATAGCTGTACAACTGGGTCTTAATGACAAAAGTTGAAGAAAACGTAAATAATATAAAAAGCCATCTACAAAATGAGACTTTGACAGTGAGAACAAGACACAAAAATGAACAACGTTGACTAGTTTGTGCAACCATGATTCACTAGGATGTGAGAAAGACACAGCAATGAAACCACAAGACGCCTCATGCCAAAGGATATTCCTGTTGTAGTATTATGCTTCCAATGGGGAACTGAGATAATAAATTAAATTCTTTAATACAACTCAGTATGCGGTCTATCCTGCAATTTATTAATTAAGATTTAATTTTCCAGCTCTTCAGAGCTGGAAAGCCTTTAAAATTTTGCTCAAAAAGACAATCTGTCAAGATGGATATTTTGTGTTTCACAGATCTGCAAACTATTCTTAAATCTTCTTTTGTCTTGTTTTCCAATGGCAATTTTTAGACCATTTTCTCAAGGACTAAATGAAGATAATGAGTAACATTGAGTTCAAAGGTGTGAACTTGACTGAGTATCCTTGCACTGTGATCTATGACAGCTTTTGCTGAAATTTGCAGAAAACTAGAGACATCCTGGAAACTTGTGCAAGTTCACCAGCTCTCCACCAATGGCAAGGTTAGGGGTACCAGCAAGAATTAAAATGGTCACAAACTGGTATTGTGCAGAATAAAAATATGGATAGGGAAAAGAATGAGGACAGACACTTCAATGGCAACAGGAGACAGGGATTTATTTTTTACTGACTTTGAACTGGTATTAGACTGAGAGACATCCAGTAAATTTGTAAGACCACCATAGATATGACTACCTATGCATATTCTGTCTATCTCACTACCACGCCCTCTCTTCATAAAGGCACTAACTATAAATAAAATGAAAACGGACAGATAAAACTAGGCTAATGCCAGAAAAAAATGGATCGCCTGTATGGAGTTCTATGTTTATGTTTGTATACATTCATGCGTTAAATGTACAATTTTAAAATTAATTTAAAACGTCACTTTCATTTTGGCAATACAACTGATAAGATGAAACATGCAGAAAACACAGTTGAACAGAACTCAGTGCATAATTTTGTCAGAACGAAGCAGTTCTTTATCACCCTTTATGAATTGGGAATACATTCATATTACAAGGCAAGAAAACCCCAAAACAGACAACATCTGGCTTCTGTATAATGCATCTGCTTTTCCACATCTTCTCCAACATCTTTGGATAGTAAAATCTACGTTTGAACACAGGTTAAATTGTATGGTTATATTTCAACAGTCTCCATAGTGCAGCAAGGCAAAACACAGCTGCCTGTATTTACTGTTCTATTTCCAGGCTATCCATTTTTAGGTCAGGTGGCTTAAAGCTAATCACTTCTTCATAGGTAAGTTCTGTAGGGAGGGGGGAAGAGAGAGAAAAGAATTATGTGGTATTTCTCTTTAAAAGAAAAGTATTCCAGACAAAACTGTTTAATGCATGCACGTGACTTGTAGTTCGTATTTCCAGCCTTAGCAGATTCTAGATCCAAACCCAGACTGAATTCACAAAGAATCTTTCTGTTAACTTCAGATTATAAATGAGACTCGCTATTATTGTAAAACATGCCTGTCCCCTTCGCCTAATTACTAAAACACATCGGCCCTGAAATGGAAACATCAATTATGCTGTCAGATGGCCTGACAAAATGACGTAATAGGAGATAAAATGTAATGCAAAGTGGCATCTTTAAAAGCACCCAAACAGGTTTTAAAATGTGCACTTTTAACTGCAGAGAACGTTCTTTATCATCACTCAGTCAATTGCCTTCAACATAAATCATGTGCAATTCTGTACTAATGCCTTGTATCTAGGTGGTTTGGTGCCTTTTTTTTTTTTTGTGTGTATTTTATTGTAACTAGCTTAATTTTAAGGTCCTCTGACAAAATGATCTTTTGTCTCAAAAGCACGCAGCAGTTCTATTTCCATCAAGAAAGGCTTAACTAGAAACATGGAGTCACTGCTATTTTACCCTGCTCCAGGAGGAGCCCTGTATCTTTTCATGCTGACAGTCACCTTGTGTTTTGCACCTTGCACAGCAATGGGACACGCTGTCAGCAGATTCCTCCTATGTATTTTCTCAAGTTAGTGTATTTTAAGGACCAAACCCTGTCCTCACATAAATAAGTGGCCAACAATGCATTCCCTGTCCACACATTAATAAATGGCCAACAATACATTACTTCAGGATCTGTTTTGATCTTTAAATCATATCAAACTTGTGTTTATTAGCTCTTTTATTAAAAAGCTCTGCCAGAGACAGCTAATAAACATAAAAGTGGACCTAGCTCAGCTCAGGGAAGTATGTGCAAGTCTTAGGGCTGGGTCTTGTCTACCCTTTGGTTGTGTTACGCTGTAGCATGGTGTACAACAACCAGCATGCCAGCTTCACTAAACAATTGAAGAATTTCCCTGTAAGAAATTCCATGTAGGGAGCCCTGAAGCTGAAGGATCTGTTAGGTGACTCAGTGATCGATCTGCAGCTATTAAATA